TTTGCTAAGGAGCGTATGAGTGGTTGGACTTTCTGGGTAGCTCAGCTGATAAAGAATCCACCTGCAATGCAGGAGACCTGGTTTGATTCCTGGGTCGGGAAATTCCCCTGGAGAAGGGATAGGCTACCCACTCCAGTATTCTTGGGCTTCCCTGCTGGCTCAGACAGTGAAGAATCTGCCTGCAATGCAGGAGACCTGAGTTTGATCCCTGAGTTGGGAAGATCCCCTGGAGAAGGGCATGGCAACCCACTCCAGTATTCTTGCTGGAGAATCCCCATGGACAGAGGAGCCTAGCAGGCTACAGTTCATGAGTTCAAAAAGAGTCAGACACGACTGAGCGACTAAACACAGCATAGCACAGCACATGCGAGTGGTTGGCCGTGTATGAAGGGGGCACCAAAGAGCAAATGACTGCAGTGGGGAGTCATGAAATTTTACTTTCAAACTCCTTGCCTTCTCCAACATGAAGGAGGTGACTCCACAGGTTGAAAACATCTTGCTACAGGGATGTGGCAGAGGTATTTCCTATTCACTGAATGTCAGAAGTGCTCCCATAGTTCCCCACCACCATGCATCGTTCAGGAGCACAGAACACGAGATCTGGTCAATGGGTGGTAAGAAGAGGAAATGTTTTGTGTTAAGCCACTGAGATGTGGGTGGTGTTCACACTGCAGCATAGCCTGGGTTACATTGACTGAGGCAGTGAAAGCATAGCAGACTCTGCCTTATTAATACTGTTGCATGTTACTCTATGCCAGACACCAAGCAGTGAGTACTACCCAGAACCCCATAAAAACTTTCTGAAATAGGCCATAGTATTATCCTATATGAGAGATATCTATATCATATGTATCGATAGTATTTGACATCATTGCTGTGTAGATGTAGATATATGGGCTATTATTGTTTAATAGCTAAGTCATGTGTCTTTTGCATTTCCATGGACTATAGCCCACCAGGCTCCTCTGTCCATGAGATTTCTCAGGCAAGAACACTGGAGTGGGTTGCCATTTCATTTTTCAGGGGATCTTCCCGCCCCAGGGATCGAACCCACGTCTCCTGCCTTGCAAGTGGATCCCTTAACACTGAGCCACCTGAGAAGCCCAAATCAGGCAAGAATGCTGGAGTGGGTTGCCATTCCTTTTGCCAGGGGATCTTCCAGACCCAGGGATTGAACCTGGGTCTCCTGCACTGCAGGCAGATTCTTTACCCTCTGAGCCACCAAGGAATGGTAGATGTATGTGTGAAAGTGAAGTCACTCAGTCGTGTCCGATTCTTTGCGGCCCCATGGACTGTAGCCTACTAGGCTTCTCCATCCATGGGATTTTCCAGGCAAGAATACTGGAGTGGGTTGCCATTTCCTTCTCCAGGAGATCTTCCCGACCCAGGGATTGAACCCGGGTCTCCCGCATTGTAGGCAGACGCTTTACCATCTGAGCCACCATGTGTAGCTGTAGTATATTGTGAAAGGATGTGTTCTTCCTTTCCTCCTGTTATGCTGGAAGTAGTGTCTCTTCAGTAAGGCAGTCCCTCCACATAAGATCTGATGCTGTCTCTTCCTCCCTTCCATTAGTGATTTTTCCTTCACTCTCCCGAATCTGTGTTTTTCCCCCTTCTATTCAGTTTGTCCCTCAGCATTCCCAGGTCTCTCAAAGCTTCACAAAAGCCCACCATCCACCTCATTTCCTCCTCTCCTGTCTCTGAAGTGTTCACCCTCACTTCCTTCCCTCAGGGTCCCCCCCTCCAACTACCATGATACCATTCTTCTGTCACCACTCTACCAAACAGCTACTTTCAACCCTGATGATGATCTCCGTGTGGCTAAATTCAGCGGATGGTTTTCACCTTACATCATTCCTCAGCATCACGTGACAAGATTATCCACAGCCTCCTGATGAAACCTCATGCTCTTTCTCTCTGGCCACTGACTCCTTTGCAGCTTCACCATCGGGTGCTGGGTGATTATATTTTAGCCTTTGTCACAACTCATCCTAGCCTCTCTTTTCTCCTCATCCTGTAGTCACTTTCACCTAGCAGTCTTTGCTAAGGCTGCTATCACTATGCAGACCCAGGCATTCTTCAAGTGGGTGACTCCATCTGGAGCTTCTGCTCACCAATTGCCTGCTCGGTTCCATGCTTCTAGTTTGACATCTTAGTGTGGGCAAGGCTGGACCCTCAATCCCTCAGTTGTGTCCAACTCTTTTGTGGCCCCATGGATTGTAACCTGCCAGGCTTCTCTGTCCATGGGATTTCTCACGCGAGAATACTGGGAGTGAGTTCCCATTTCCTCCTCCAGGGGATCTTCCTGACCCAGGGATCGAACCATGTCTCCTGCATTGGAAGGTGGATTCTTTACCGCTGAGCCACCTGGGAAAACCCTCTGCTTACTTAACTTCAACCCCTCTTGCTCCATCCTCTGAGTTCCCCATCTCAGTAAATGGCGCCATCCTCCGCCTAGTTGCTTATGTTGGAACTTGGGAAGAATGTTGCATCAATCCTTTGGGGAGGGTTCAGCACAAAAATGTGCTTAACTCTATTTTGAAATGAAAAAACAAACTAAAGCATATCATAACTAAAGTAAGTCTTTTACATTTTTATTTTTCCACAGGGACTATTCTGATGCTTTTAAAACAGAATATTGAATCCTTTCCAAAATAATTTTGGGCCCTTCTTTTGCTGTTGCTATAAGAGCCCCTTGCCTGCCTGAGAGTCAATAGTCAGACACCATTTCCTGTTGATTCTCCTTCTTAAAATATTTTTGAACCTGTCTGCTCCTCTCAGGTGCCAATTTTAAGGCTGCATGACGATTATCTAAATTTCTGCAATAGGTCCAAATTTTCCTCCCTGCTCCAAATTATTTTCTACAAAGCATCCATGTAGGGTGATAGCAGGAATATATATAATGGATTCCATCAATTCACATTTTACAAACTCTCAGTGGCTTCCCATTGTCCTCAGGATAAAATCTCAGGTTTGCAACAGGCCCAAGATCCTGCCACTTTGCCATGGGCCAGTGTTACCTCTTTGAGCTCCTGGAAAAAGCCAAGCTCCTTACACATCTCGGTAGCTGATTTACTCTTTGCTCCCCAGCTCTCTCACTCTCCCAGCTTCTCCTTCCTCAGTTCTTAGATTCAATGTCCTTTCTTCAGTTAAGTTTTTCTTTTTTCATTTTTTTTATTAGTTGGAGGCTAATTACTTCACAATATTGTAGTGGGTTTTGTCATACATTGACATGAATCAGCCATGGATTTACATGTGTTCCCCATCCTGATCCCCCCTCCCGCCTCCCTCCCCATCCCATCCCTCTGGGTCTTCCCAGTGCACCAGCCCTGAGCACTTGTCCATGCATCCAACCTGGGCTGGTGATCTGTTTCACCCAGTTAAGTTTTTCTTAACCTCTTACTCCAGATCAGTGCTCCTAGTTTAAACACTTTCTTAGTAACCCCCACTTTGCTTTGTAAGTAAACAATTATTTGTATATTGGATAGTTTAATCTCCCCTCCTAATCTACAAACTCTAGAAAACTCATGCAAACTCCCTGAGAAAGTCAATACTCATTCTAGTATACACAGGAAGTCCAGGATCCTTGAATCCAACTTTGTCTGATTTTAGAACTCATGCCTAAAAGTTGAGAATTAGGCTTTATTTGGTGGACAAACCTGAGGACTTAAGCCCAGAAGACAGCCTTTCAGCTCTAAGGGACTGTTCCAAAGAGGTAAGGGAAGAGCCAGGATTATATAGGAGTTTTATAACAAAAACCAGATAGTCAAAAGTTTACTGTTAGATAGCTCAAATTAATGTGTGTGTGTTTAATCCCTCAGTCATGTCTGATTCTCTGCAGCTCCATGGACTGTAACACACCAGGCTCCTCTGTCCATGGGATTCTCCAGGCAAGAATGCTGGAGCAGGTTGCCATTTCCTCCTCCAGGGGATCTTCCCAACCCAGGGATCGAACCTGCACATTGGCAGGTGGATTCTTTACCACTAGAGCCAATCTCAGAAACCCAAGTTTACGAATTTAGCTCTCTTCTGTGTTTGGGGCGATGCATGAGTCTGTGCTCAGGGAAATCATTCCTTTGATATGCACCTTAGCTCTCTAGGGCCAATATCCTGTTCTTCCCCATGCTGAGGCCCCTCAGGGTGCACCTTTGTGGGTGGCTGCAGTGGAGGGGGGGCACTTAGCTCTGGGTAGGTCCTTTGTCTCCATCCTAAATTCCCTCAGGGCTCACCACTGGGGCTCTGGTAAGTGCCTGCTGGCTTGATGGCCATCCTTCGTTTGTTAATACGACTGGCAACATTTCTCCTTCACAGGAGAAACTGGAGAAAAATGTTAACATATCTGGCTAATACTAGAACTGTGTGTGTTCTAGTGTGGGTGAATCTTTTTGTGCAAGTTCAAGTCAGTTGTAGATTTCAGGAAACCTCAGCCTTCTGTGTGTGTGTGGGGGGGTGGTGGTGGTGGTGGAGGAGGTGTTCAGTTTACCAGCAGGACTAGGTAAACTGGACCCGAGTTCTCCCACCATATAATCCTCACATCTCTAAACGGGTGACATTAACCAACTTGCAGGGCTGTAGTAGGACTCATTCATCTAATACGTATTTAATGAGCATCTAGTATATACCAAGTTTGGGGTTAGATGATGGGGATACAATATGATTTAGGATGTTGGGCACTGCGCCTATCACATTTAGTTATACATGGTCACAGGTACTAGTGTTAACACAGCTGTGTGCTGACATTTGCCTGTGTCACGTAGCTTGAGACGGGGTGTGACATTTGTGACGCTGGTCACTATCCAGACGCGGGCCGGGATTACCGAGCGGCGCGACCACACCTCCGCTCCGGCCACTAGAGGGCGCGCGGCCTCTACCGTAACCGTCCGCTGCGTCTGCGCCTGCGCCGCGCTGGCTGCCCGCCCTCCACTCCCCTCCCCCCAGCGCCCACGCTGCCTCGCGCCATAACGCTCCGCCCCCGTTGCCCCTAGCGGCCGTTTGTTGACTTCCGGGAACACTGGCGTCGCGGATGCGCGGAGTGTCGCTCTGGGGGCCCAAGGGGCTCCCAGCGCCCGCTTCGAAGCTGAGGCACTGCCTTAGGCCCAGCCGAGTCGACCCCGCCGACTTTCTGGCCGAGGAGCAGGCTTTCCATAGCGCCATTACCATGGGGGAACCCAATGAGATGGTGCCCGGTGAGTGGCGCCCGCGGCGGTGGCGGCGGGCCGGGAGGGAGGGTCAGCGGGCGGGCGGACGGCCAGGCCCCGCCTCTGGGCCGGCCCCGTTGGGGGACAGGCCTGGGTCGCGGCCACCCGACTACGGTCGGAGTCTGGCCGCGCCCCTGCGGTTGACTGAGAGGGGAAAGAAAGGAGGGAGAGGAGGGAGACTACGGGGGAAGGGGGTGCCGGTCTTTCTTCTTCTAATTCTTTTAAAATAAGTTTTAGATAGTTTCTCGAAGGCAGGGGCAGTTTTCACCTCCCTATGATCTTCCCAAAGTACTTCCTTTGAGGTTCTCAGAACCCGGTTGTGTATTGAACGCAGTAAAGACTGGCTAACCGGGGGATGTGCGGTAAAAGGATGGGGAAACAAGTTGGAGAAAGGAGGGAGCCATTAGCGAGTGGTTTTTAGGAGACTTTACCCCTGAGCTCCAGGAATAACCTTTGGCGTTGTGACCGAGTACCACGTACATTCTGTGTAACAGAAATAGACGTTTCATAAAGGAATACTTATTTCAGCCACTTGGGATGTGCTCAGATCTTTCCTGTAATACTTTACTTTTTATTTTTATTTTTCATGACAACTTCATTTATTTTTTTTATTTTTTTATTTTTTATTAGTTGGAGGCTAATTACAATATTGTAGTGGTTTTTGTCATACATTGACATGAATCAGCCATGGATATACATGTATTCTCCATCCCGATCCCCCCTCCCACCTCCCTCTCCACCCGATTCCTCTGGGTCTTCCCAGTGCACCAGGTCCGAGCACTTGTCTCATGCATCCCACCTGGGCTGGTGATCTGTTTCACCCTAGATAATATACATGTTTCAATGCTGTTCTCTTGAAACATCCCACCCTCGCCTTCTCCCACAGAATCCAAAAGTCTGTTCTGTACATCTGTGTCTCTTTTTCTGTTTTGCATATAGGGTTATCATTGCCATCTTTCTAAATTCCATATATATGTGTTAGTATACTGTAATGGTCTTTATCTTTCTGGCTTANCCACAATGAGGTACCATTATACGCCAGTCAGGATGGCTGCTATCCAAAAGTCTACAAGCAATAAATGCTGGAGAGGGTGTGGAGAAAAGGGAACCCTCTTACACTGTTGGTGGGAATGCAAATTAGTACAGCCACTATGGAAAACAGTGTGGAGATTTCTTAAAGAACTGGAAATAGAACTGCCATATGACCCAGCAATCCCACTTCTGGGCATACACACCAAGGAAGCCAGATCTGAAAGAGACACGTGCACCCCAATGTTCATTGCAGCACTGTTTATCATAGCCAGGACATGGAAGCAACTTTACTTTTTAAAAATGGTCATTATGACCCACTAAGTTGATTTGCTGACCCACTCCTTATGACTCGGTTGGTAAAGAATCTGCCCGCAATTTAGGAGACTCCAGTTCGATTCCTGGGTCAGGAAGATCTGGCGAAAGGCTCGGCTCCCCACTCTAGTATTCTTGGGCCTCCCTTGTGGCTCAGCTGGTAAAGAATCCACCCCCAATGCAGGAGACCTGGGTTCAATTCTTGGGTTGGGAAGATCCCCTGGAGAAGGGAAAGGCTACCCACTCCAGTGTTCTGGCTTGGAGAATTCCATGGACTGTATAGTGCATAGGGTCGGCAAACGGATACCACTGATCGACTTTCACTTGTATGGGTCACGAGCAACAGTTTGAAAAAAAAACACTAGAGCAGAATCGTTGCGTTTCTGCCAGGCTCTTGGGTTCAAACGTGATTCAGTTCCTGCCTCGAGTTCACAAGGTAGTGAGACATACAAGAAACTAAACAAAATGGCAGTATCAATTGACAGAAGATGCCACCAGGCCAGCACAGAGCCACTGGCCCCCTGGCTTGGGGGGAGGGTAACCGGGGGAAGGCTTCTTGGGGAGCCAGAGCAGGACAAAACAGTTGTAATTATTCCTTTTATTAAAAAGTCAGAGCCTGTTCTTAGAACCTGGCCTCCTAAATCATTATTGGTTTGAACTCGCACACCTCACAGTTGTTCTCAAAAGGATTTTCCACAGTGGCAAGTCTCTTGAGCATTAGTATTTATTATTAACACTTAGGTTTGTTATGTCTTTCTTTTTGATACCTGTTTAGTTTGTGTGTTGTCATCCTCCTTAAGGTTTCCTCAAAAGCTGAATCTGGTCTCGTGTGTGTGTGTGTGTGTGTGTGTGTGTGTGTGTGTTTGTGTTTAGATATTAATACCTTTGGGATCTCATAGAAGTTTTTGGTCTCTCTCCAAAATAGTACTGGAGTAAACCAGTTTGTGAATACTCCTCTTATCAGGTAGTATTTAATGACTTCATTTAAGAATGTCCAGATCTCAACATCCTGCATCCTCACAATGTTACTGATGAAACTCAATGCTGTCCTATTTCTGTGTGTGGAGAAAAGCCTTCAGTCAGAGGCTAGACTATGCGACGTTCACCAGTGTGAGTGGGGGATTGAGGGTATCAGCTTATTTCCAAGGAGTAGATGGTCCACCTTGTGGCAGCAGGACTTAGTCATTGTGACAGTATATGTCTTACTTTACACCAGTAAACAGATAATATTTACTTGATTTATGAGATCTTATAAATGAAACTAGAATGAAGTCTGGGGAGTAAAACTGAGTTAAGTTGGAAGAAGGAGGGTGTAGGCCGTGTGGAGCAGATAAAGTACTGGAAAAGTATTTTAGTTAATGGGCAACATAAACTTGTGAAATCAAAACTCTCATATATTTGTCTAATTTACTTGCAGATTCAGGTGCTGTGTTTACATTTGGAAAAACCAGATTTGCTGAAAATATTCCCAGCAAATTTTGGTTTAAAAATGATATACCTATATCTCTTTCATGTGGAGATGAACATAGTGCTGTTATTACAGGTTAGTGTTAAAATCTTAAATGAAGATAGTAATACTTAGAGAATCCTAAGTATTGTAGATATGTTGTTTGAAACATGTTGAAGATATATAGAAAGTGAATTTTTGTTTTTTGTTTTTTTACTTTGCCAGAGAATTCTTGACAAATTGATTTATCAGGGAAGACTTTTAAGTTCCCTTAGTATACTGACATGTGATTTTCTTTGCATATTGCTTTCTTAGAATAAATCTATTTGAATATATTCACCACATCAAAAAACTGTTACTGTATAATCTTAGAAACTTCACAACTAACAGAATATAGCTATGGGTAGATGGGCAAGGTAACCTGTAAAACCGATAACATTGTTTAAGTACAGCTTTTTTGTTTTCTAATGACTTCATCTCACATTATGTTGAAAATGCTTCAGTTTATTATTTCTGTTTCTTTCCCACCAGGAAATAATAAGCTTTTCATGTTTGGCAGTAACAACTGGGGACAGTTAGGATTAGGATCAAAAGCAACTGTTAAGAAGCCAACATGTGTCAAAGGTTTGGGGTCTTGTCTTCTTTATCACTTTAAAAGTACTTTTCTATTGATTGTGTAATTCTTTAGTATAAACAATAAAGCCTTTAGTTCTTTGTTCACTGAGATTTACTTGAATATTGTTGGCATTTAACTTTATTTTTCATGTGATATTCAGAACTACTTTTATATGTTAGGATTTAAAAATTGGATTGATTTTAAACCCAGAGACCACAAAGGAAATAATGATTCTTTAGTACTGTGCACTTGAACATCGTTTTTTTTTTTTTTTGCCTGTTTTGTAAACCTACTTAAATATTACTCTTATTGTATATACAGAGAACAAACAATATGATAGGATTTTGAGCTCTGTGTCACTTGTTAAGAGTTGTGAACATCATGGTCCTATGTAGTTGCAGGTTTTTATAAAACACACTTTACCCTGCTGTATGTAGTTAGCAGATGTGCTGAAGAAAACATCAGACTTCGGAGTTGATTAGTACTAGTGTTCTTACAAGAACAACAGGACAAAATGTTTCAAATTAGGATTGTCCCAGAAAATATAATACCTTTACAAAGCTTTCTTGCCATTACGTGCAAAAGCTTCTGTCTGGTTTAACCCATGAACGTCAGCTATACTTGAATGGTGATAGACACTCCTTGACAGGAGCAGGATTCTTTATCTTTGTAGCCAGATTTTTTATTTGAGCTCAGAATTTCAGTGTAATTTATCATATCCATGCTTCCGTGGTAGCTTAGACAGTAAAGAATCTTCCTGTAATTCAGGAGACCCAGGTTCAATCCCTGGGTCAGGAAGATCCCCTGGAGAAGGGAATGGCAACCCATTCCAGTATTCCTGCCTGGAGAATTCCATGGACAGAAGAGCCTGGCGGGTTCTGTGGGGTTGCAAAGAGTCGGACACGACTGGGTGATGAACACACACATACTCACACATGCTATTTGTAGATATTGTTGTGGAACTTTTAAAGTATTCCACTAAGTCAAAAAGTATTTATTGAGCACAGGCTACTAAACCCTTGGGTTTATTTACAGTGCCCACTATGCTTACTGTTCAAAATCTAATGAAAGTGAATGTGTTAGTTGCTCAGTTGTGTCCGACTCTTTGAGACCCCATGGGCTGTAGCCCACCAGGCCCTTCTGTCCATGGTATCCTACCACCTTCCATTGTACTGTAGTGCTCTGCTCAATTGTGCCCGACTCTCCGCAACTGCAGGGGCTGTAGCCCACCAGGCCCTTCTGTCCATGGCATTCTCCAGGCAAGATTACTGGAGTGAGTTGCCATTTCCTTCTCCAGGGGATCTTCCCGACCAGGGATTGAACCTGGGTCTCCTGCATTGCAGGCAGATTTTTTTACCATCTGAGCCACTAGGGAAGTCCAATATTTCTAATAGACAAGCTAATAAGATTGTCTAGACTCTGAGATCTTTGAGCCAGGGACTCTGTCTTAGTGATATTTGCAGCCCCTGTGCTGAGCACTTAGGAGATGTTCTGTAAATGTTTTTGATATGTAAATGAATGAATGAAGAACTTTACTGTAGTTGTATGACTAAACAACAATAACAAATGCCTATGAATGTTGAACTTAGTGTTTTGTTGTGTGAGGTAGAAAGTAAACTTGATGATGGTAATGCCAGATTAGGGAATAGATCAGGTTGGAGAAAAGGCAGCATAACAATGCAGTGGATCTCAGCACATACTAATTACTTGTGGAGTTTTAAATAATATATAGATGCCTAGGTCTTACCTCAGACCTACTAACTCAGATTCTCCAGGGGTCAGGCTAAGCTATCTGTATTTTTTTTTTCAGAACACCATTGGTTATTATGATGCACAACTATCTCCAAAAACTTTTGATTTGTTAGTTATGAAAATCAACTTAGAAGTCAGACAGGCCTGGGTTTAAATCTGTTCTACAACTTGGTCATCATTTGACCTGGATTATTTATCATTTCCATATAATCATAAAATATCTTACTTGTCATATTTTTCTATTTTTAGCTTTAAAACCGGAAAAAGTGAAATTTGTTGCTTGCGGAAGGAACCACACCCTGGTTTTAACAGGTATAGTATTCAATCTGTGGGCTTCCCTGGTGACTCAGCTGGTAAAGAATCTGCCTGCAATGCAGGAGACCTGGGTTCGATCCCTGGGTTGGGAAGATCCCCTGGAGAAGGGAAGGGCTACCCACTCCAGTATTCTGGTCTGGAGAATTCCATGGAGTGTATAATCCATGGGGTCACAAAGAGTCGGACACAGCTGAGCAACTTTCACTTCACTTCACTTAATTCAATCTGTATGACTTCCTGTCCAGTCTGAGGACCGAGGTCTCACTCCAGTAACATTTGTGACTTTGTAAAATTAATAGAAATGGTACCTTGGTAACAGTAAGATTAGGATTTTTTAAAAATGTAAATGGATAGTACACTTGTTTGCCTATGAAAATATGCAGATAAATGTTAAGTGGATGAAGAAAAAGCTTCTTTTCTTGGATGATGTCAAGGGACAGCATCTCTTATGTGCACACCTTCAGGGGCTGCGTGCTCCTGATCTTGCTCTTCCTTCTTCTTTTCAGAGGGTGAGTGGAAGCCCTTCCTAAAAGGCTCTTGATGTGAGTTAGCACGGTTCCAAGCAAAATCCAAACAGGCCGTGTGTGTGTATAAGTGTGTGTATGTGTGTGTAGAAATTCACAAGGTTATTTTAAAGTTTATATGGAAAAGCCAAGGACCTCGAATAGCCAAAACAGTTTTGAAAAGATCAGAATGGAGGACTACCTGGTTTTAAGACCTACTGTAAAGCCACAGTGGGGCTTCCCTGATGGCTCAGACGGTAAGGAATCTGCCTGCAGTGTGGGAGACCCGGGTTCAGTCCCTGGGTTGGGAAGATCCCCTGGAGAAGGGCATGGCAGCCCACTCCAGTATTCTTGCCTGGAGAATTCCATGGACAGTGGAGCCTGATGGGCTATAGTCCATGGGGTCTCAGAGAGTCAGACACGACTGAGTGACTAACTAACACACACACAGCTACAATGATCAAGACAGTGTGCTCTTAGTAAGTAGATAGACAAAGATTAACGGAGTAGAGTCTGCATATAAAGCCACATGTTTATGCCCAAGTAATATTTGACAAAGGTGCCAAGGCAATTCCGTGAGGAAAGGTAGTCTTTCAACAAATCCTGCTGGAGCAATTAAATATCCAGACCTTGACCACCCAGCAGTCTTTCCCACCTCCATCACGAACACACAGCTGCTTCTGTCTTCAGGCTGCTCTCACTGCTTCAGCCCCCACCTCACCTCTCTGCCCTCACTCAATACTTTCCCTTTGCTAAAGTGTCTTTTCTCTTTCTCTTATTCAGATTTTTGTCTTTTAAGATCCAGTGTAAGTCTTCCTTCTTCCATAGAGCTTTTTGTGACTATTCAACTTTTTCCTTGTGTCATTCTCTGAACTGCTTCAGCATACCACCAACTCTGATATGCTCCATATGTTTTAAATTGTGTGGTTCAATTTCCTGTGGCCTTCGAACCTCTTCTGTTTGAAAGCTAGTCTTGTTTCCTGAATTAGGTGTCATTTCTTTTTAAAATAGTATCTAATTTAAAATTTTTACTGATACAGAATGGTTTTGTCCTCAGTTTCCCTTATAATTTAGTGAGGCTTTACTGCCATGTGCTTTTATGACAGATACAAGTCATTTTAATATGTATATCTTTACGTTTCATTACTTTAGAGCTTACTGGCAGTGTTTATTATCTAGGAATGATCCACTATGTGATTAAGAAAATTACTAGCATTTATGCAGTGCTTATAGTGTCCCAAATTCTATTCTAAGAATTTCATAAATGTTAATTCATTTAGTCTTCATAACACCTCTGTGAAGTAGACACTATCATTATCTTATTTTACAGATGAGGAAAATGAGACACTGAGACATTAAGGATAGCTTGCCCAAAGTTACACAGCTGATAAATGGCAAGCCAGCATTTGCACCCAGAAAGTCTGGTTCTGTGTGCTCTTGCCTAGACACAGTGCTGGACTGCCCTCCTGTTTAGGAAGGCAGAAAATTAAAATAATTATGCAGCATAGAGTTTCCATATTTCTAATTAGATTCTTCTTGTATTTGCCTCATTTTATTGAATACTTATTTGTTACCTATTATATCTTAGCCTTAATGGGTATAGAAGTTAAAATTAATGAACCACATCTCTTTTAAAATGGTTTGATTTGGATTATAAACTAATTTGGAAATTACTTTCCTCTTTTTTGTTCTGAATTAATAGTTCTGCATTTCGATTGCTACTTAAACCCTAGAATAATTTATAAAATCTCACAGAAATGTAGAGCCTTGCTTGTTTTGCTGTATTTTTGACACCAAAAGGAAGCTGTTCACCAAATTGTAGGATAATGCCAGCTTTCAACTTTCTTCACTGGTAATAGACTATCTAGTATACACTGGACTGTCGATGATGACTGTGGTATACTGATGTTTTGTTTTCCATGTGCAGGAGGAGGCAAAGTGTATGCCACTGGAGGAAATAATGAAGGGCAGCTTGGACTTGGTGATACTGACGAAAGAAGTGCCTTCCATCTAATTAGTTTCTTTACATCCCAGCATAAGATTAAACAACTGTCTGCTGGGTCTAACACTTCAGCTGCACTGACTGGTAAGACTTTTTCCATTTCAGACTGGGACACAGCCCTTTTTTTCAGACCAGGATACACAAAATCAGTAAACTGAAGACAGCAGCCCTGTTTTGTTTTCTTTCATTGACCATGTGTTTTCAGAAGACATTTAAAATAGAACTGAAAATCATGACAAATATTACAACTTTATGCTTACATACATACAGAAGGTAACTGTATGTAATTGTTAAGTAACTTCTAAGCTGTACTACCCATCTGTTTCTTTAGATATTCTTAAATAGTACCTTCGTTGCATGTTCTGAAAGTTATACTTCAGCTTTAGTGAAGTTGCTGTCAGAAATATCCCAGAAATCTGCAGGATATATGTTACTAAAATATAGTTTGTAATGGTCATTGCATCGCTCTGCTCTGCCTATCAAAAGCCCATATGAGAAATTTCTTTAAAATTTGGAGCCGAGATTAACATGTCTCTCTGAAGAAGCTGCTGTGTACTTCTCTGTTCCAGTCCAAAGAGGTGTGTGAGGTGCGCTGTCGCTCTGGCCGGCAGGAGAGCCAGAGTCGGATCTGCAGTTGCATCCTTTCAGTTCTCTCACCCACACAGTTAGCGTTTAGACCTCCTCCTTTTGGTTCTTATTTTCATATTTCCTTTTATTTACTTTATCATGAAACACTTCAGATTTTAAAACTTTTAATTAAAAGATAAAAGTAATTAAGTCTGGATCAATTTTCCAGAATATTTCTCTTAGTTTTTTTTCCCCCTGACAACACAACCTTTATCAGAAAGCACAGAAGTTAGCCTGGTTTTGAGATGTTAGGTATGCTAATGTATCTCCTAGTCTCTGAAGTTAGATTATGTATTTTCAACTGTAAAAAAAAAAAGTTAGCAAAAATAATTTTTTTCTTCCTCTAAAGCGTCATTCCCACAGTGTTCTCAGAGCAAAGTAGTCCCAGTCCTTCTGACCTGGGACTTGTCTGGGAGATGTGCAGTGTGACTCATGCCGGCATTCAGTTCAGTTACAGGTAGACTGCTTGAAAGGAGGGAACCATCTTCTGTTTAGAGACTTTAGAATAAGGAAAGGATATTATAGGAAAGGACATTCTGTCTTTGCTATTGAGGTAGAAATATGGGTGTGACTAAAGTGATATACTTTAGATTATTCTCTATCCTTTATCATTATAGAAACATTTCATAATAGAAATAGTACTATTAAGTAGTTCCCTGGTATAAATATCTTTTAGTACTCGTCTTTCAAGATACATCATTTTTCTAATTTAAAAAATAAATGTTCTGTTGGGAATATAATAACTTGCTATCCCTGCTACCTCTTGAAATGTTTTTTCCTCTTCATGTTTTATCTATAGAGGATGGCGAGCTTTTCATGTGGGGTGACAATTCCGAAGGGCAAATTGGTTTACAAAATGTAACGAATATATGTGTCCCACATCAAGTGACCATTGGAAAACCTATCTCCTGGATCTCTTGCGGATATTACCATTCAGCTTTTGTAACAAGTAAGACAGAACAGTTGAATTTCTTGTTATCTCCCATGTCTAAGTTATTACTAAATTAATAATAAAATAACATTCTACATTTCTGTAGAACTATCATCATGGTACTCCTGATGAAATAATTTTGGTCTGTTCTGGTCACAGTGTTTCTTCATTTTAATAATGAGTGTTTATAATTTCAAACTATCTGACATGTTAACTGATTTTAATGAATTAGATCTATTAGGAAAACAAATTTCATATATAAAAAACCCTTCTAAATGTTGGTTCTCAAATTTCTTTGCCATTAAAAACAAGACCCATGAGCCTCTTTTCTCTGAATCTGCTTGGTTCTATACTTTGACGTATTCTGATCTTGTCCTGATAATTTGCTTTTATCATTTCAGCACATGAGTCATAGATTTTCATTGTAGGAATAGGGTTGAAGATTTGATGGAAAAGGAGGAGAGTTCAGTATGGGATATGCTTTCCTTCAGTGGTTCTTTTCTCAGGATCCCCAATTTCTCCTTTTCCTGGCCTCATTGGCAACCTTCTTTACCTTAAAATATTTTAAATGCTAGACTCTATTACAGCCTCCATCTACTCTAGTAGTAACAGCAAAAATATGATCTTGGTTTTCCATCCTATTGATGGTTTTTCTAACAATAAAAACACCTAGGAAAACAGTTTTATGGACCCTCTTAGATATCTTTCTAAGTATTTATACTTAGAGTAGTTCAACTCTAAGTATAGGTGTCACTTAAATAGTTATACATTTACTTCTTATTCTGTGCACCTCAGATTCAGGTTTAGAAAATGCTTATTGTCCCATCTTAGTGCCCCCCAGGTTTACCAATGACTTGGTAGTAGTTTGCCCTAAGAAAAGGCAAACTCTGACTTGGCTAGTTTTGTTCACTACTGTGTCAGTTTGTGTCTTGAAGAAACTGACAATCAATAAATCTTGTTGAACGAGGAGGTAAGTGAATGAATGATAAATTGTTTTCCTTGGGCCAATACCACATACCAACTTATCTCCAACTTTAGGGCCCCTGAGGTTGGTATAGTCTGTGCTCACTTTGTTTATGAAACAAAAAATAGAAAAAAAAAACACATGAAAAAACAAATAAAGCATTGTCTTATATTTAGGCCTTAATAAAATTGCCAATATCAATTTTTATTTACTACTGCTTTAGCCATTAGAGAAACAAGTGCAGTTAATCATTTTAACTGATAGACATTACATTGAACTTTTTTGTTTTGTTTTCTGTTTTATGCCTTTAAAAGAAATAGCTATATTGATGTATAGTTCACATACCATGCAATTCATCCATTGAAGGTGTGGGGAGCAGCAGGAATTTACAGACAGTAGTAGAAAGAGACTTGTCTAGACTTAGAAATTCCTTTCATATGAGAAGCAAGAAGCATGGGGAAAGGGGGAGGCACGCTGACTTACTGAGCACTTCCGTGCTGAGTACTTCAGAAAAAATTGTGGTACAGAAAACTTCACTTTTGTGCAAATCAATCTAGAAAATGAGTTTGGCTGTGTTTGCAGTATTTGACCAAGTTTTATGTGACACCTGCCTTGTGTGTTAGATGTCACACAACTTCCCTAGGTTCTGATTTGCTAGAAGGGCTCTGTCTTCGACAGCTCATTATACTCATAGCTAAGATTTATTACAACAAAGGAGAGATATGTATCCTTCAGAGAGGTCCCATATGCACTTCCCAGTCCTTCCTCTTCCAGGGCCACACGAGATGTGTTTTCTCTTTGGCATTGAACTACAGGGATGTGTGTGTGATGTCTCTGCCCAGGGAAGCCCTGTTCTATTCTCAGGGTCTGAGGCTTTTCTGTGGGTGGCTGGTCATGTAGGCACATCCTGCTAGCAACTCGTCATAGTACCTGCAAGTCAGGCCCTTCAACAGTGAAACCAGGTGTACATCATCAGTGTTGATGTTTGTGCAAAGCAACCCTTTCTTAGCTTCTGGCTAAGCTGACATAATTCATTTCTCCAGGTGTGTGTAACAGAATCACCTATCACCAGCTTAAAACTCCCAAGGGCCGCATTCCCAGGGGTTAGCCAGCAGTCATTCGTGGTGTGGTTCTCTTGGAGACGTGCGAGTAATACAATAAGACGTGCTGTGTTACCTCTTCTGCATGAGTGATGTAGAAGCTTATGATTAGATTATGTGTTTACCACAGTTTTTAAATTCCTGCTCTGTAGGACTCACTTCAGTTCATAGAAATGAACAAAATAGTTCCTGATTTCATGAAGCTCATAGTATAGTGTGCTAAGTGTGATAACAGAAGCAAATCAATAGTATTGGTATGGACAAGGCAGCAATTAAATGACATGAATTCCTTAGTAGGAGTGTCTGTCTGGAAAAAGTGCCATCTGAGTAAAACCTGCCATCTTTAGGCTCACTCACCATATTGCTTCATACATAAATGAGTTTTCTACAGAAAGTTTCATGAAAAGCAATTATTTATGCAATAAGTATTATATTTAATGGACTAGACACACTGCTAGGTTATGCAAATATCATAGTGAGCAAGACAAAATCCATGTCCTTTTGGGGGTTTAATGTCTAGACATTTTTCTTTATTAAAAGTAAGTGGAAGAAGTAAGATCATCTTGTCTATGTACTGTGAAATAGATAAAATAATTTTCTAGTTGTTACTGGTAGTCATAGTCATGAATTCTTCATGAAGATTTTGGATTAGAATAATCAAGAGGAAGGGAAAATCTACCTTTATTCCTTACTATTCGGTAAAAGTATCTCAAGAAAGGTCAGATTTATTAAGTTTATATTTTCTAAATTTTTTATCAAACGTAAGAACATGTTCCAAAAAGACCAGTATTTTGTTCATGTCTCTGTCATCATCGATCCCTCTTTTTTTTCTTCAATAGCTGAGGGAGAACTGTACACCTTTGGAGAACCAGAGAATGGGAAGTTAGGTCTTCCCAGAAAGCTCCTGGTCAATCACAAAGTGCCCCAGCTGGTGCCTGGAATTTCTGAGAAGGTGATCCAAGTTGCTTGTGGTGGAGGGCACACAGTTGTTCTTACAGGTATGGGTGCAGCTCCGTTCCCTGCTTTCTGTGGTACCTAATGAAAACCTTCTTTAACATTCGCTTATTTTTATTGTGGTAAGAACACTTAACATCTGATCCACCATCTTAACAGAATTTTAAGTGTATAATACAGTAATGTTATCTATAGGCACAATCTGGTATGACAGGTCTGTAGAACTTTCACCTTTGCATAGCTGAAATCCATTTATTAGCAGCTCCCCTCTCCACCACCCTAGTCCCTGGCAACCACCATTCAAGTCTCTGCCTCAGTGAGTTTGTATGTTTCAGATACTTCATGTAAGTTGACTTTGCATCTTTTTCCATTAAGATCTCTACTTTTTGTTCCTATAGTTAGTAAACATTTCTGGCCTATGGAAGATATTGCTAAGTAGAAAAAAAATGAATCTTGTCGAATCGTTTTTGCTTACATAATTGACATTTTCATGACCTAACACCTTTAATGGAAGCAAATAACTTTTTTAGCTTATTTTCAAGAACACTTTGTTTTCCTCATGTATATGTATTCCATATTTATTTAAAATTGACTTTAATTTTTCTGAAATACTTAATTTTGAAGTATATTTTGAAGCTCCTTGTTAATAGTCTTTTCTACTTGTCATTGGTAACTCTTCTCTTTGATATTCACAATATCTAACTTGGTGATTTCTTTGTGATTTTTATGTCTGTTACAGTAATTCATTAAAGGGGGATAAGATTTTAAATGACAGATAAGAATACAGAGTTAGAACCTTAATGATAATGTCCCTTTTGGCTTCTGAATTTTGTTTTTGGTATGATATGTGACTTCTTAGGATGCTAGTCAATATAATTAAAATATACTACCTATTAATATGCTTACATTGATGCTCCCAGATTTGTTCAGCATTAGATTTGTTTTAAATGAGTAGTATAGAGATAATGCAGTTAGGTAGTGAATAATTATGATACTTTTTAGTAAAAAGAAACAGTTTTTGAAGTCACCGCTTAATCTTCAGTAACCCAAAGCTAGAAGTGTTCTAGACAAATTTTTAAATAACATCCAATTCTTAGATATTGTTTAAATGTTGCAAGGTGATTAAGCAGTATATTATCTTTAGATTTTCCTCTCACATCACTTTTCCTTGACTTCCTATTGTAGCCCTGGTCATGCTTATAAAGTTATGGTTTCCCAGAATTGCAATTTCCAGATGGAATATTTTCAAAGTGAGAAATATTTTTTTCTACGTCCTCCACTCTAAATTTGGAAATAATTCTGAAGTTTAAGATTTTTTTTAAACTTCTGCTGATAAAGTGAATTTTTATATAATTTCTGAAAGATTTATTCTAGGAATTAAACTTTAATCTTTATAAATTATCTGAAAATTTATTCTGTAGGCAGAAATGCAATTTATTCTTGCATCAAGTATTTTCTCTGGTTTATACCAAGATTATAGAAAGAATTAATTTACTAGGTGATTGACGGTTATTCTGAAGGACGCAATGCTGACTATATAATAATGTGTCATTAAACCATATATTATAAAATATTTTCAAGATTATCTTTTAATTATACTTAAAATTTTAAATGCACATATATGCACATAAGTATGATAGTTTCTTATAGTATAATAGACATTTAGCTTTCTGTGAGCTTTGTTTTGAAGTTAAAAACTATGTTGCCAGAAACTGATTGTTTTCTCCAGATTTTTGGAGACTTTCGAATCTCACAGATCATTAAAGTTTTTATATTTTAAGTTTTTTTATTTTGTAAGAAAACATGAGGACCTACAGAAGATTGCCAACTTCCAGTTTGCATTTGGCTAAATATGAACATTGCAAGAAAAATGCAGTCTGTTTTTACCATTAAATCATAAAGTAAGGGTCATTTTCAAAACAAAAATTTTAAAGCTCTTAATTTTATAGTAAAAGACACCCCCTTAAATTGTATAAATTTATCTGTATGAAAGATTCACTATTTTGCCTATTTTTTAAAATTTATTCATGGACCTTTGAAGGCTGTATTATGAGCCAGTCCTGGTGAGAAGCCTGTGTTCTGAAGTAGTATGGATAGAAATATTAAATATTTAATTCTGATTGATAAAGAAATGAACCTAAAGAGTGTATGATCATCAGTTTGAGTAAGTACTAAGTTAAATACCTAAGAGTTATCAGATACTTTGCAAGATCATAAAGCCAAGAATAGCTAATCATCTGATCTAAATGGTTCTCTTAACTAAAGGGAATGGCTTAGATTAGATGATTCTCTGGAGGCCCTCCCCAGCTTTGTTTTTTCTTGTGTCTGTAATTGTGATCTTAAAGTCTATTTAGATCTGACTTTATTGATCTTAAAGTCAATAAAATACTTTAAAGATAATTAGTTCATTGTTGATAAATTTATTTAAAACTTGATATTTTTATATAACTACGATAGATTATACAATATAGCTACTGGTTGTAGCGACAGTCAGGGAAACGATGGATTGCTGTTGAGAAAGTTGGAACTGGGACAGACTAAGTGAAACCGAGTGATCCATATCATTTTGTATGTCATCCACAGCAGTTTTCAGAAGACAAGAAAGGCTTGGTTATTAGATTGGGTCCACAATGAAGTCTGGACCCCCAAAGAAAATAAGAACTTAACTTCTCCAGATTATATTTAGACAAACTTAAGATCTCTACAGGGCTACACAAGTATCTAGTTGTGAAATGAAATGTATTCTGTGAAATTAGAGTAATATTTATCTGAAGCCAACTAATCAAATCTGTTTTCCTAAGACAGTATTGTTTATTAACATTGAATTACATTGTTAAAAATGTTACAAAGGTGGGATGACTAAAATTTATATTGATTTTTGTATAAAATGTCCTTAGGTAAGAGTCTTCAGTCATTTAAAAATAATAGAAACTATTGTCATTGCTAATCATTCAAGCACACAAGGGAACAGAATAAGGACAAAACGTTTGTAACTTGATTCAGTCTGCCTGAACAGCCTAATTTCACAGCCCAAGAAACTAGGAGTAATTGTTGGCCAGCTCAAGATAGACAGTTTTTTTCACTTACCCAACATCCTCCTATTAAGCTGAACATTCAGAATTGGAGATACGCTATGTGATTATTAGTTTTACTAGAAATAGTGTTTTTTACACTAAAATAAAGGTCTGTTTGCCATTGCCTCAGTGTGGCTTCATATCCTTGACACTGTGTTGTCTTTAAGCAATAATATCTTTGTGTCTTATTCATGAAGTAAACATTAGAAAGAAAAATGTAAAACTCTATGACAATAGTTATGTGTTCAGCAGTATCCTGTGTTGTCCCAATAAGGTGAGTTGATTAGATAATTACTTTTTAGAAAATTGTTCTTTTACTACTGACTGTCCCATTGTGTTTTTAAACCTTCCTGTATGTTTTCTCATTTAATCCTCGCAGCAGGTCTTTTAGATAGAGTTTATAGCATTAGGGAATTTAGGTAGCTTGTCTGCTTGCCACAGCTAGTAGTAATGAAGGTTTGGGCTTCTATCTGAATCTGAAGCTCTCACTTCTGTAACTGCAGCAGGAGAAGCAATGTGTTGCACTGTGGAGAAGCACACCAATGCAGTCAACACTGTGCTTCCTGAGGCAGGGGCCTGGAAGCATTGTGTGTCTAAAAGGACACCTCCATCACCACTTGTTTATCCTGTTCTTGGGCTTTTTCATTTCTCAAGACTATATGAGCTAATACTTACTAAATTATTGGAGTTTATTTGGAATCACTTCAAAACTACTAATATCACATAGGATGGATAAACAGCAAGGTCATATTTTATATTCAGTATCCTATGATAAACCATAGTGGAAAAGAATATGAAAAGAATATATGTATAACTGAGTCACTCTGCTATCTAGCAGTAATTAGCACAACATTGTAAATCAACTATACTTCAATAAAATTTTTTAAAAAATTTAAATAATACAGAGGAAAGGCTTTTCCCCTCATCTGATTATTATTGCACTTCCTAATAAATGAGCTTTGTGCTGTGCTTTGCTTAGTAGCTCAGTTGTGTCCTTGTCTTTGCAACCCCATGGACCCCACCAGGCTCCTCTGTCCATGGGGATTCTCCAGGCAAGAATACTGGAGGGGGTTACCATGCCCTCCTCCAGGGGATCCTCCCAACCCGGAGATCGAACCCAGGTCTCCTGCATTGCAGGTGGCTGCTTTACCATCTGGGCCACCAGGGAAGCCCAAGATCACTGGAGTGGGTAGCCTCTCCCTTTTCCAGGGGATCTTCCCGACCCAGGAATCAAACCGGGGTCTCCTGCACTGTGGGTGGATTCTTTACCAGCTGAGCTACCAGGGAAGCCCTAAATGAGCTTTACCTGTGAATAAATGTAGCATATCTGCTGTAAGTTTTAATTCTCATGCAGATTTTCCTCTGAGATTGTTTTCTGAAATAGGTTATTCCATTAAACTACTGTTAAAAGTAAGGACTTTTTCTGTGGGAAACACTATTCGTTTATTTAAGTCAGTGAAAGAAATTAGCTTAATGACAATTGATGCTTTTTGACTGAGTGGTAATTATAGGGACTGTTTTGGTTTCACTGACTTTTGTGTATTTAGCAGTTCCTTCTATCATTATATGTAAGAGATGGAATTAGGCCCATGACATAATTGTTACAACTGTGTACCTTGTCATTTTTCTCTTCCTTTATCGAATGTACAGTTAAGTATTAGGTATTCTTACATGAGTGTTTCTTTGAGAGACCCTTAACATACTTTATTGAAGAGGATATATCACCATTTTCCCAGATATAATGATGACAGTATCTGTCTCTCTGAAATCCTTTTCTTGTATTTGCCTCTCCCCTTTCAGAGAAAGCTGTGTATACCTTTGGGCTGGGACAGTTTGGTCAACTGGGTCTTGGCACTTTCGTTTTTGAAACTTCAGAACCCAGAGTGATTGAGAGTGTTAAGGATAAGAAAATAAGTCACGTTTGCTGTGGAGAAAATCACACAGCTTTGATAACAGGTACGGATCAAATTTCTGTTAATATACTTAATGGAACTGGGTATATTTTATTACAAAATAAATACTATATAGAATGAATGTATCTAACTAAAACAGAGGAATTAATAAGTGAGAAAATGTAATTTCTTGTTTAATATGCCAATGTATAAAGTTGTAAACTCCTTTTTCATATTTTAGTTCAATTTAAAATCAGTGTAAATGATCCAAAGATTTAGAGCCTCAAAATATGTCAGTGCTCTCAGAGGTGAGACCATAGTATTATACTTTGGCAGAAAGCTGGAGTCTTTTTGTAACTATTGATTTGAAGGCTCTAAACTCTACTCACACCAAGAGGAAAAATCTCCTAAGAAGGAACTTATTTTAAAACATTCTCCGTGTTCAGTCTGACAGTACCATTCAGGCTGAGTAAATTCTTAGAATGCTTCTGCCACTAGGAGGTGTTTTCAGGAGTAACTTTCCTACTTTCTCCACAGTGCCAGCAGTGCTCGCTCTTCTGCTCTGTAGTTTCTCCTTTTATCTGGGAAGATGCTGCTTTGGGCCTACTTCTCAACCTCAGAAACTAGGTGCTGCTAGTGTAGGACTCAGTAAAGGTGCTTCCCTAAAATGACTGACTCACCCATAGATAATTAATACACTGCACAATTTTAATTGCTTTGGAACAAAAGGCTCTGTAATTTTTTTGTTTGTAGCTCACAGTTCTATCGAAAAAGCAAAGCATTTAAAAGTCATAACTCATATAATATTTTGAAATAATCCAGATACTGGTATTTCTGTGTTTTCCTCCTTCTCTACAAAAGTTTCTGCTACAGTGGAGCTCATCTAATGGTATCTGGTTGGGGGAAGTAGGGATCAGCAAATGCAAGGTACTACCATATACTGGCCCTTCTTCCCCAAAGAACCTTTCAGAGAGCACTGGTGCCCCCCGTTTTCCAGTATCAGTGTCCTTGTTAAAAGTATAGTCGAAAGTGTAGTCGCTAAGTCGTGTCCAACTCTTTGTGACCCCATGGACTGTAGCCCACCAGGCTTCTCTGTCTATGGAATTCTCTAGGCAAGAATACTGGAGTGGATTGCCATTTCCTTCTCCTGGGGATCTTCCCAACCCAGGGATCAAACTTGGGTCTTTGTATTACAGGCAGATTCTTTACCATCTGAACCACAAGGGAAGCCCATTACATTAAAGTCCTTGTTAATGTACATCCTTGTTACTACATTAAAGTCCTTGTCAACGTAACATGAAATTGAACTATATAGAATGTAAAGAATTATTCATTCATAGTCCCAGAAAAGTTGTTGATATGTATGCCTTATTGCTGGGCCCTTAAGCTCAGTTTCTTTGTCCTTACTGCCATTTTCCATCAACTCTAAATTGCCACTGATAGTTGTCGTGGTCTGGGTGCAGACTGGAAAAGAATTTCCAGACATGAGACAGAATGAGAGGAAAATAACGTTTATTAGAGTGGGAGACACTGTTAAGAACAGTGGGCCAGCTCAAGGAAGAACCGATGTTGAATAGGGGTCCTCAGTACACTTTTATACCCAGGGTACAAGGAGTGGGATAGGGGTCTTGTGGGTCATTTGCTGATTGGATGAGGCATACACCTAGTATACTGGGTGGGGGAAGTGTATGGATGTGAGAGTTGGACTATAAAGAAAGCTGAGCACTGAAGAATTGATACTTTTGAACTATGGTGTTGGAGAAGACTCTTGAGAGTCCCTTGGACTGCAAGGAGATCCAACCAATCCATCCTAAAGGAAATCAGTCCTGAATATTCATTGGAAGGACTGATGTTGAAGCTGATACTCCATTAGTTTGGCCGCCTGATGCAAAGAACTGACTTAAAAGATCTGATGCTGGGGGAAATTGAAGGTGGGAGGAGAAGGGGATGACAGAGGATGAGATGGTTGGATAGCATCACTGACTCAGTGAACATGAGTTTGAGTAAACTCCGGGAGTTGGTGATGGACAGGGAGGCCTGGCGTGCTGCAGTCCATGAAGTCGCAAAGAGTTGGACATGACTGAGTGACTGAACTGAACTGAATGGAGTAGGAGGGGAGACAAGTTATACTGTTCCATTAATAGTTACAACATGGAGGAGGGAAGGACGATAAGGGTCTGGTTTTTCCATTCTTGCATTACAAGACCCTCCTTGGTTTTATCTGCTCTTTCATCCTTGGGTCACCACAATAGTAAATATACTTTTTACAGATCCTCTAACATGGAATTAGGTTATTTGGTTAAAGTTTTGTAATACCCTTCCTCCTGATGAAAGAAATTATAGCACAAATAATTGAATTATTAATTTTTTTTGACTGTTTTGTTGGTGAATCCTCCGCAGGAGTAGATGTTATGAATTTTTTTGTTGTTGTTGTTCAAGACTAATGAGAGGTATGTAGTGAGTTATCAGGAAGTTCTTACCAGTTCCCCATTATAGCCAGTGGTTCATGTTTTTAGAAGCTCTCTGAGGTTGGAAGTGTGATTGGACAGCTTGATCAGAGCTTATTTTTTCTGGCTAAAGATACTCAAGTTTAAAAAAAAAACCTTAACATTTTGAATAAGGGAAGTGAAAGTCACTCAGTTGTGTCCGACTCTTCGCAACCCCATGGACTACAAAGTCCATGGAATTCTCCAGGCAAGAATACTGGAGTGGGTAGCCATTCCCTTCTCCAGGGGATCTTCCCAACCCAGGGACCAAACCCAGGTCTCCCGCATTGCAGGTGGATTCTTTACCAGTTGAGCCAGAGAAGCCCTGGTGAATAAGGAAATCAGGGTCAAAAAAAGGAGGAGGAAAGCAACAAAAATAGGGAGTGCACATAAAGAAAGGAAACAAATACCTAGTAGTAAGAATTATAACACTCTAAATTGAGAATCTAAATGCTGGTTTATTGGTTATTTATAGGGAATCTATTTGTTTTTAATATATTAAGGTTTGAACTTGCCACTTAAGTGAATTATGGTTATTTTTTCAGAAAATTCTCTTGGTTTTTCTTAGTATACGGTTACTTTGCCATCTTAAAGTGCAAGTTCCCAGATATGATCTTGTCATTTCCCAGCTTAAAACCATTCATTTAGGTTATTGGTGTTCTTAATATCTGCCTTAGAATCCACCTACAATGCAGGAGACCCTGGTTTGATTCCTGGGTCGGGAAGATCCCCTGGAGAAGGGAAAGGCTACCCACTCCAGTATTCTTGGGCTTCCCGGGTGTCTCAGATGGTAAAGCATCTGCCTGCAATGCAGGAGACCTGGGTTCGATCCCTGGGTTGGGAAGATCCCCTGGAGAAGGGAAAGGCTACCCACTCCAGTATTCTGGCCTGGAGAATTCCATGGACTGTATAGTCCATGGGGTCACAAAGAGTTGGACATGAGTGAGCGACTTTCACTTTTACTTGTTCTTAATGTAGAGTTCAAAAATGCTTAATATGAGCTAATAACATACTCTGCAGTGTGGCTCCTTTTTACCTCTTCAGACTCATCTCATACCACTCTCCCCTTTGTGCTCCAGACACGTTGGTTGCCTCTCAGCTTCTTGACTGTGTTATGCTTTCTGTGCTTGATATGTACTGCTGGCCTCTGCCTGAAGAATTCTTTGCTCCCTCCTTCTTGTAGCTAAACCCTAATCCTTTCAGCTTCAGTTTGAAAGCCTTTCCTAGTCACTGGCTTAGAGGGAGAGCCCCTCTATACCTGTACTGGCACCATTTCCTTTACTTCTGCTTCCATGGCACTTACCTCACTTGAGATGGAGAGTATGAAGGAAAGGCTTGAGGAGTGAAGGTTCAGACTAGCTACTATGGCCGCAGACAAAAAGATTAACTGGCGAGGTGACAAAATTACTCATCATTATCTTGGGCCCGGCTGTACAGGGGACCCCCCCCAAATTGGTATCCCCCACAAGCAGCATGGTTGGTTTATGGCATTTCCTTCAAGAGCTTTCCACAACCCCGAAGCAGAAGTAAGAGAGAGGATTGATCTAGTCTAGTGGTGTTTTGGTCTCCCCAGGGGACTCATGATATTTTTGATTGTCATAGTTGCAGAGGCAGGCATTTAATAGATAGAAGCCACGGATATTGCTGAACATTCCACAAGGCACAGGACAAACTCATATAGTTGGGAATTATCCAACCTCAAATGTCTGTAGTGCCAGAGTTGACAAACCCTCAATGACCTGAGGAAAAAAGAAAATAAATTGGGATGTAGAAGGTCAGAATATAAAAATCTCTTTCTCTTTGATAAGGTGGTATTTATCATAAGAGTCATGCTGGATTGCTGCTGCTCCATACAACACCTTGCAGGACTGGGTCTCAGTTTCACAAGCCACCAAGGGCTTAGTGATTTATTCTCACGGTATCTATTGCCTAATGTTATGTGTGGACAACAGAAACCATAGAGAGTGTGGAAACATCAATGGACCAGAGTAAATGCAGAATATGAGGGGAAAATTGCAATGTCAATTAATATATCTACTGTTTACAAATAGATTCATCAAAGTAACACTTTCATAATTCTCTCTTTTTTTCATTTTAGAATCAGGCCTTTTGTACACTTTTGGAGATGGTCGACATGGAAAACTGGGACTCGGAATGGAGAATTTTACCAATCAGTTCGCTCCCGCTTTGTGTTGTTATTTTTTGAAGTATATAGTACATTTGGTAAGGGCTTCACATTTCCCTGTTTACATGTTCACATTCCTATATTTGATTCTTTGGGGATTTCATATAAAATGAGTCCTTTTACATTTAGATGAAATAATATCATGGCTCTATCTAGTGAATGTACTTGTGTCCTAAAGGCCAAATGTCAGATATCACAACACTCTGAAAATCTGTCCTTTTCCTAGTGTTTCTTCTCACTCATAGTAGTCATCTGTAAATGTTCGTTGGGTTAGATACCATTCAGACCCTCAGATCCTGCTGATAATAAATGATGAGTTTTGAAAATACTTTTATTTAGCTAAGTGCTATTTGGATTAAGTGTTGTTTCAGTATTGTCCGCATTAGGCACCATATCTCTGTTGTTTCTAACACTTGCCAATTAAGAACTATAGATGAAAATTTTGTTTAGCCTGTGATGATAGTAAGGGCTTCCCAGGTGGCACAGTGATAAAGAATCCACCTACAGTGCAGGAGATGCAAGAAATTTGAGTTCGATCTCTGAGTCAGGAATATCCCCTGAAAGAGGAAATGGCAACCCACTCCAGTATTTTTGCCTAGAAAATCCCACAGACAGAGGAGCCTGGCAGGCTACAGTCCATGGGGTTGCAAAGAGTCGGACACAACTGAGCGACTGTGTGCACACACACCACAGGCACACACACATGCACACACACACTGATGATAATATTTTGTTGCAGGAAGGGGGACCCCTTCTAGGGCCCAAAACTGGGCTCTCATCTAACACTCTGAACTGAATTGTCTGAGGAGACACATGTGCTGACAAAGCAAGAGATTTTATTGGGAGAGGGCACCCAGGCAGAGAGCAGCAGGTTTAGGGAACCCAGGAGAACTGCTCTGCCATGTGGCTCGCAGTCTCAGGTTTTATGGTGATGGGGTTAGTTTCCAGGTTGTCGTTAGCCAGTCATTCTGACTCAGAGTCCTTCCTGGTGGTGCACACCTTGCTCAGCCAAGGTGGATGCCAGAGAGAAGGATTCTGGGAGGTGGTCGGACATGTGGTGTCTTCTTTTGACCTTTCCTGAACTCTTCTGGTTGGTGGTGGCTTATTAGCTCCATGTTCCTTACCAGGACCTCCTGTCGTAAAATAACTCATGCAAATGATTACTGTGGTGCCTGGCCAGGGTGCACAGTTTCAGTCAGTGTGCTTCCCCTAACAATATCACTTGGAATTTGTTCCCCAGAGACTCAGAGCCTTATACTGTGGAACACTTCCCATTCCTTGATTTGACACCTATTTGATGAATACCTGCTTGGTACAAGATAGTGGACTGAGGATGAGAAATACAGAGCATGCAGTGATGAACACTGAGACCAGATTCTCACTCACTGAGCTTATAATCTTGTGTGTGTGTGTGTGTGTTGGTTGCTCAGTTGTGTCCGACTCTTTGCAACCCCATGGACTATAGTCCCCCAGGCTCCTCTGTCCATGGGACTCTAGGCAAGAATACTGGTGTGGGTTGCCACTCCCTTATCCAGGGGATCATCTTGACCCAGAGATCGAATCTGGGTCTCCCGCATTTCAGACAGATTCTTTACAATCTAGCCACCAGGGAAGCCCCTGTATAATCTTATGGGGAAGATAATTTTTCAATGCTATACATAAAACAGATCCATTTTAACTTTGGAAATATTATGAAGGAAAGGTTCAGGGTATGCTATTCTATGTTGCAATGTAGAACTCTATGAAGATACCAGAAGTCTCTATATTGTAAACACTACATAATGTTTTTTTAAGCATTTTATTGAAAACTACTTATTTCTTAAAGTCCTTAAGATGTTGATTACGTTTTTCATTCTTTCACCATTGTGCATGCTTGCATTTTGCTTTTGGGGCTTTTAAGCATTAAACTTAAGAAACTTTCATGTAAAGAGAAAGGCTTGAAGACATGTTTATCCAAGAGACTGATGTATTCTTGGGTCCCTTATTACTTTTTAAAATTTATTAATTTATTTTAATTGGAGGATAATTACTTTACAATATTGTGATGGTTTTTGCTATACAATGACATGACCCATGGGTCACTTATATTTAAGTAGAACTTGTCTGATTTTTTTTCAAGTTGTTAGTGTTGCTCCCAGATTAAAATAGCATTTTCTAACTTGTGAAGAGAAATATAATGTGCCAGATAGTTTTTTCTCTATACTATATATTCAGTTGAAAGTAAAATGATGTATTAGATTTGGTCTAATTTTCCGTAAAAGTTTTTAAAGAATATATATTGTAATTCATGTGTTTTTTTTTTGTGTGTGTGTGTGTGTGTGGAGGGGGAGAGGGAGATAGAGAGATTCAATCATTCAGTCTAGGAGGTCTACTGCTAAGTTAATGTTTTGTAGCTAAAAACAGTTAAAAACCCATTTGTGTTTGAAGCCAATGTCAATTAATTGATCTGTGAATTTATGCTGCAGGTTGCTTGTGGTGGATGTCACATGCTAGTTTTTGCCACTCCACGACTTGGTATGGCAGAAGACGTTGAGCCAGTTGAAATAAATAATTTTTGCTTACCTTTGGCTCTATCTGTGCCTATCAGTGATCCACCTTTAGAAAACATGCTGCAGAGATATTTATCAGCACGTGTGCGCCGTCGAGAGAGGGTACGTTTGTGACCTGTTCTATATAATAACACTGTCTAGTGCTGCAAAGAAAAGAGGAAGAAAACAAATTTATTTTCTTTTTAAACCAAAGAAGGGTCTTCTTAGATAAATTTAGTATATAAAATGATTAGAATTAATAGCTTACAAACTTTTAAAGAAAACTCAGAATTAAACTGTTAAATTAGAAAATTGAAATGATCATAGATAACCTTTGTAGACAGTGGTACTGCTAAATTGTTGTCTCAACCGTATGTGAATTGACTTCTATTTTGGTTTTGTCTTTTAAAGCTAATACTTCATGAGCAGTGGAAGGTTATATAGTATAAGTAATGAAAGGTTGAAAACAAAAAATAAGGACTTTGGGTTGAGAGAGGGAATGTTCTTTCTTAATTAAATTTAGGGATTCTCATTCTGTGCTTTAAAATGATCATTATATAAAGTAGTTAGCCTGCAACTAATAAAAATAAATGGAAAGAAAAAAAGTATAATAATAACAAAAATAAATCATCACCAAAAAAATAAATAAAATGATCATTACAATGACACTTATATTTTAAAAAGTAAAATCCCAAGTAATTTTTAAAGGAGACATTCCTTTTTAAGTAAAAATTACTTTAAATTCCCAGATGTATGCCTTTAGAGGTAAAAAGTTACATTTGGCTTTTTATTATGAAAAAGTATATATGGAAAAATTAAGAAATATCCCATAAGTATTTTGTAGTTGGTTTGTGTTTCCTGAGTAACTGTTTTCTTTCAGGGAAGGCAGAGAAAACACACATACACTTTTCCCATCTGGTGAAAAACATAGCTCCAGATTGACGATTTAGAGCAACTTAGACACAGAGGCAACAAAACAAAACATTTTTGAGCCCTTCGGGATTATTCAAGAGTGAACATTGTAGGACTTTGGCCAATTTGAAGTCTCTCTCTTTGATAGTTTTTGCAACCTCAGGGCAGTTTACATCAATATTAAATATATGACATCATCTAACAGTCTATTTAACCTGTTTGCTTTAAAGGAGAAATCCCCAGACTCTATTCGAATGACGGGAACACTACCTCCAGTTGAAGGGACTTCCCCACAACCCATTTGTTTTTTGCCTCGCTTAGTTCCTTTCTCTATGTCTGCAACTAACCTGCTAGAGAAAACGATGACTGAAAATGAAAACTCTACGCCCCCAATGGAGCCAGGTAACATTTGATGCTCTGCTTGCTCTCAGAAGAAATGTACCGTTTATTCCTACTGTTTTCATGTTCATCTTCAGATATTTTCTCCACTTAAATTGTTTTCTTCCTAGTTAGAGACTGACATCTCATTCAAACTCAAATCCAGGAATTCTCTGACTAATAGAAAGCATCTCTGATGACCTTAAAAATCCCATGTGATGACAGCAGCGTTATCTTTATAGAGCAGTGTATAACATACATATCACCTTCTCTTACATTATCACCTTTAAACCCAGAAGCAACCCGAAATAGGTGGGAGTTAGATTCTTCATTTATATATATGAGAAAAACAAGGCTTTGAAGAGATTGAGTGACTTGCCCAAGGTTACTCAGTTTTATAAATGAAATGAACAGGATTTGCATACAGGTCTTTTGGCCCTATGTGAAGTTATGTATTTAGGCAATATAGCATCATGGCTAGGAGTATGGGATGTAGAGTCCAGTTGATCTGGGAGCAGATGCCAGCGCCAACATTTATTAACTATATGTATCTTAGGAATGTGTTTATGTTGCCGCATGGCATGTGCTCGGATGATAGGGACGGGGCAGGAAGCCAGGACTAGGAAAGCAGAGTAAGCAGTAGGTTTGGAATTAAGAAGATAATCTGGTCATCTGGGATTAAAAACAGTGGGACAGATCGTTTTAATATCTTTGGGCTCAGGAACCTACAGAAAAGGTTGAGGTAACAAAGGATCAGGAGCTCAGGCAAGGACTGTGGACCATGGGAATGGAATATTCCCTGCATCCAGGACCTTGATAAGGAGTAGGGTTTCTTACATCTTGCCACAACTTTTGTGTTTCCTTTGGAAATAAGAATCACTGGTACTCTTCAGCCCTGTACCTGGGAAAAGTAGATTCTGACAACAGTGTGTGCAAGGAAAAGACAAGTTTATGGTTTGGGGCAAGTTGTTTGCCACTTCTAGAGATTAGAATGTGAAGATAGAATTTTTTAGAGTAAAAGGAAAAGCCATCCCTTATCTTCTTGTGACTGTTTACTAAAACAAACTTAATAAGAAATATTTTGTAAGTTGTATCCCTGGAGGAGGAAAAGGCAACCCACTCCAGTATTCTTGCTTACAAAATTCCATGGACAGAAGAGCCTGACATTCTACAGTCCTTGGGGTCACATTGAGTCAGACACGAGTGACTGAGCACACATCCAACATATAATGTGACTTTTTCTAAATTATTTGCAGACTTCAGTGTTTCTTATGGAGATAAGGACGTTAGGGAACACATGGATGACAAGGTGACATTTAAGCTAAAACAAAGGGTAAGAAAATAACCACACAGAGAGGATGTGTCTATTCCAGGCAAAGAAAATAATGTAGTTAAAGGCAGTCTATAGGAAAAGGAAAGAAGATCATTGGGGTTAAAGAGAAAGTGAATGAAGGAAAATCAAGAGTGAAGGAAAAGACAGGACAAGATGATGTTGGAAAAAGAGACAGCAAAAAAATATTCATGGTTTTATAGGCCATGAGAGGCCTAAGTGATTTGAGTGTTTTTCTTAAGTGTAATAGAAAGTCATTAAAGGATTTTAAACAGTGGAGTAATGTGCTCCAATCCCATTTATGTTTTAAGATGATCATTTTTGCCTACATGTGGATGCAGGGATACCAGACTAGACTAGAGGTGGGAAGAAAACTTGAGGACCTTTTGCAAGAGATGATGGTGTACAGACCTAAGGTGTTCACAGTGGATATAAAAGTGAGCCCATGGGAAATACATTTTACACATAGAACCAGGTGAACTTGTTAAACTTGTTCATAAATTACACATAGATGTGTAGGCAGGAGGGTGGTTGACTGCTTTGAGGGAAAAAAGTTAAAAACTGAATTTGAGATCCCTGTGAGGCATCCAAGTAGAAATATCAAGCAGGCTGTTGAAAATGAAAGCATAACATTCAGAATAGAGGTCTGGACAAGAAATAGAAATTTGGAAACCATCAACGTGGAGATGGTATTTATAATTCATGGAAGTAGAAAAGAGCACTCAGCATTTTGCCTCGAGACTGACTGATGCTTAGAGGGTAAGAGAGGGAGGACCAGCAAAGCCACTTTTCTCAACCTTATCAGCCAGTAGGGCAGAAGGAGGGAAATGAGGAGAGACTAGGGTCACAAATTCAAAGTACTGCTCAAAGCTCAAGAAAAAGGAGTGTAAAGAAGCATCCCATGGATCTGGCATCCTGGACATTTTTGGTGATCCTGACAAGAGTAGTTCCAGGGAAAGATCAGGACAGAAGGCAGAGTGTCACTGAAACTTAATGTATTCATTTGTGAAATGGGGATATAACACTTACCTCTCATTATCATGAAGTTAACTTGACATGTATAAAAAAGCCTTTGTCCCGAGCACATGGTAAGCTTTCAGGGCAGCTGTTCCACAGCTTCTGTTAGCACTAGACTTCTTTTCTTCCCCATTTACCTCCATCCCTACCTCTCAGAGTTCTACTCATCCATCATTCCCTGTAACTCCTTAGTGAAAAATTTCCTCATCTTCCACATTTGGATGGGGTTTCTCATTCTCCTATATCACATATTTTGTATTCCCTTATAGACTATATGTTCATTAGGATTTAGCAATTACTTAAGTTGGTATCCGCTACCTAATCCCTCACATGGAATGAAGACAAACCGATTGTTCATTCAATGGAATTGAATGAATTTATAAGGGAGAGAGTGCTGTGAACTGGCATTTTCAGTGAAGACTTCATTAAGGAGCTCCTCTCAAAGAAGTATATATGTGCTAAATGGGGATATAGTAATTGAGACAAATGTAAGGTCAAATGAAGCTTGTAACTTTCCATTATCTGCTTTATGATGTAATAATCTTAGGGTTTTCTGTGAAAGTTTCTGGGTCTCTGTACTATTTTTCTGTTGCTACATAAGCAGTGACCCTAAAACTTAGGCTAAAACAACAAACATTTACTATCTCACATAGTTTCTAAGGGTCAAGAATCCAGGACCAGTCTAACTGAGTGATTCTGGTTCAGGATATTTCATGCTCCTCTTGCAAGCTCACTCATGTTGGCAGGAGGCTGGACTTCTTCATCACATGGGCTTCTCCTTGGGTATACTCACAGCATGGCTTCTCCCAGAGCCAAGTGATCTGAGAGAGAGAGGGAGAGAGGACTGAGACATAAGCCACAGTAACATCAAATTGATCTGCTTATTTTATTGGCCATACAGACCAACCTGGTAAAATGTGGAAGGGAACTACACAAGTGTTTGCATAGCAGGAGGGTATAAGTTGATGGGGATCTTTTGGGCACTGGCCATCATAGTGCTTGATACCTCGTAGTATTTATCCCAAAGGAATAATGTTTCTCTGTTCATATGAATGAAGCAGTTGTTATCTTATCAGTGTCAGGGTCTTTAAATTTTCAGAAAGATTTTAAAACCTGCTATCACTGTGAATGAATTCTGTTCAGTTCCCTTAATATGAGGTTAAAAGACATTCGAAAGTGAAAGAAAGTCAAGATCACTCAGTTGTGTCCAACTCTTTGCGACCCCCTGGACTATACAGTCCATGGAATTCTCCAGGCCAGAATACCAGAATGTATTCTGTAGAAGCCTGTCCCTTCTCCAGCAGATCTTTCACACCCAGGAATCCAACCAGGGTCTCCTGCATTGCACGCGGATTCTTTACCAACTGACCTATTAGTAAAATTATAATTGTACTTTTATATTGCAGAATAATTTGTTTATTGTCTAGTTGTCTTTCACTTTTCTGTTGAAATCTGGTTCTATCTTTTCTATGTTAATCATTCAGATTATTTTCAACATAAAATGACCAAAGAGAAAGAAACAGACAGTCTTTCAGCAGAGGATTCAGAAAGCCTTGGAGAAACTGCTGATATCTTAAATATGGTACTGGTTTTCCTATTTGTGCAATATAGATACAAATTTGAGTTTTAGTTCCTCATGTATTTGTGTGTGTATGTCTGTGTATATGTGTACTTCCTAAGCCATTATATACATAGAAAAAAGCTTTTTGTTTTTGTCTTGGTTTCATTCATTACTTTAAACTGAGATTTAGTGAAGTATAGATTAAGTACTGTAAAATTAATTTCAGCCCTCATTATTAGTATGCAATTGAAAGTTGATTATATGATTGAACTGTTTTGTATTACTTTTATTTATATGTATTTTAAATCAACATATAATGATATATAAATATATAATCATATGTATAAGTATATAATCAGTTATATAGTCTTTATTTTTTAGAACATGTTTTTTAAAATTTATTTCAGACACACATGTTGCACCTGAATTCCAGTGAAAAACTAAAATTATCGCCAATTCAAAAGCAAAAGGTATGATACAGAGAGTTATTTTCACTATGGTGGGAAGAACAGTTTAAATTGTTTATATTTTTGTTGAAAGGTTTCTGGAAAGAACTCAAGAAAGGTAAGTATTCAACTTATTTTAGGATTTAAAAGATGGGGATACAATATGTATAGTCTCCATTTGGGCTTATTCTGTTGGTATTTTCTGTGATACAACAAGACTGGCAGAATTTCACTGCTGAAATTTGCTCTTTGAAGTCATTAATAAGTGACAATATCCATACTTTGTTACCATCAAGGCAAAAGATATTTATTACCATTCTTAAGTGTTAGAAGAGGCTCCAGCTGTTTATGAGTGCCTCTCACCCTTTGTTTGAGTGTGACTTTGGGTGAGTTACCTTGATGACTTTACAGGATGATATTAACCTCTTTTCCAGTTCTAAAGTTTTGTGGTTTTTAGTTAAAATATTTGATAATTGCTTTTACAGTGTTTGGAATAGGCTTTAATTTATCAAGGAATTGGTAGCATAAAAACAATATTGAACATTTGGAAATTAGTCAGAAACCATGCATTAGTGATAGAGACTTTTAATGAATAACAAATGAATAGAAGAGGAGGGAATATTCTGGTTTTTCACAACCCTGGAGAGATAAAAACCTGACCTGAAATCATTTTCATTTTCTGGCTTGAAAGACCAGTGAGGTGAAATGATGAAGGGTTCAGGATTAGAAACATAAATTGGAGAAATGCAAATTGAAGGACAAAGGCTACAGAACGCATTTCATTTATATTTCTAGTACCTTTGCCACATTGTTAAACTAAAAATTCTTAAAATCAAAGTCACTGAAATGCAAGAGAATCTGGGTAAATTATAAAAATTTAGTGCCAGTCCTCATTAGTCATATCTATATCTTACTGAGAGGCATATTGAGTAACAGCATTCTTTTTGAATATGGGAGAGCTTTTTTCCTAACACAGTTGTCGAAGCTCAGTGATTTGTTGACTTGACTATACTTCCAAGCAGACATCTTTTGTGTGTCTTTCCTTCCTCTTAGACTCTGGGTGGTGCCTCTTCTGTGCTGCTTTATTGTGCTAAGGAAATAAAGGCACATGCATTTACAAATCATTTCTGGCAGCTGGGCCTCTGTCTTAAGGCTATTGAAAGAATTGTGACTTTAAAGAAGAGACCTAGAACAAACAAAAGGAAGGCACTTTCTTTTAAACTAATATGTATTTTATATTTCACATAGTCCTTTTATGTAGAGGCCCTACCAAGCCTACTTTAGTGAATAAAAAAGATTTATTATAGCATTTCTTTTTTTTTTCCATTTATTTTTATTAGTTGGAGGCTAATTACTTTACAGCATTGCAGTGGTTTTTGTCATACATTGAAATGAATTAGCCATGGATTTACATGTATTCCCCATCCCGGTCCCCCCTCCCACCTCCCTCTCCACCCCATCCCTCTGGGTCTTCCCAGTGCACCAGGCCTGAGCACTTGCATCCAACCTGGGCTGGTGATCTGTTTCACCCTAGATATACATGTTTCGATGCTGTTCTCTTGAAACATCCCACCCTCGCCTTCTCCCACAGAGTCCACAAGTCTGTTCTATACATCTGAGTCTCTTTTTCTGTTTTGCATATAGGGTTATCGTTACCATCTTTCTAAATTCCATATATATGTGTTAGTATACTGTAATGGTCTTTACCTTTCTGGCTTACTTCGCTCTGTATAATGGGCTCCAGTTTCACCCATCTCATTAGAACTGATTCAAATGAATTCTTTTTAATGGCTGAGTAATATTCCATGGTGTATATGTACCACAGCTTCCTCATCCATTCGTCTGCTGATGGGCATCTAGGTTGCATTTCTATATATTTTTAACTTGTGCTGTTTTAATCATTTATTTAGCAAAAAATGACCTCTTCCTAGGTCTAGCACTCTTCACAATTTATAAAACTTGATTTAGTGAGCTTTTACTATCTAGAGACTCAAATTCATCAACTATTTCAGTCCATTAGCTTATAGAATTTAGATCAACAATTTGATTTGCCTTATTTTGTCTGGCAACAAGTTAATTTCATATTCTTAATGTATCATTAAAACCTCAATGGTTCATTATATAAGTTTTTATAGAAAGCTTATAAAATTTTATATTTTGCCTTAAGTATTTTTCTCATAGTTTTTTATGTATGCAAATTATTATAATTAAAGAATATAGTAAAAGGAAGAGGGTCAAAAATTTGAAAACTCAAAAGATTTTGTTTAGAAAAGAAAAACATTCATTATTATGTAGTGTATTGATAAAAAGACTTCATTGTGATTTTTAGATTTTTTTCTTCTAGAAATAAGCTTTTTCTTATTTCAAGTTTTTTAAAAGTTCATATTTTCATTTAGTTTCTTTCATTTTGAGAATTTTGTGGACTCAAAAGACCAATCAAAATTTGACAAAACAATAGGGAAAGTAGAAAAATGTGCATTTTTTAACAGTATTTTTCAAAATCAGTCTGGAAACATATTTAAGAATTGATTCAGATTAAGAAAAGGGGCAGAGATTAAATATTGGTACTGTGAGTAATGGCAAAGTTAAGGCAGGTGGTAAATTTGAAAGTTAAACACAGATTCATGTTACTGAATCAAAATTAGATGCTCCACAGAGAATGGCATAAATTATCCCCCACCAAAAAAAAAAAAAAAACCAAAATCTGAGGAAAATGTCGGTAAAATTGGGCATTGTAATTCTCCAAGTGAAATTTATGATAATGCAAAATCTTGGCAGTATTTTGTAGTAAATAAGTTACCTTTATCAACTAATAGTAGTATGACGATTACTTCAAAAAATTTACAGAAACAAGAAATAATCGAGAAACCGAAGCAGCATACAACTTATACTGAAAATGATGATAGTAATGAATATGAAAATGAAGAGATGTCCCCAAAAGTGACAGAAGGGAGAGTATATAAACAACTTTTGGCACAAGGAATGTACATGATGCCAGCGACTTTATCTATGGAAGCATTTTCAGATGAGGACGTAGGTAGTGACTCAGACCTGCAAAGTCCTCAGACCAGCACCAGTGCAGAGGGTTTGCAAAAAGGGACCTTTAGACATGAAAATAAGCGTGGTGTCCATCCACTTTATAGCGAGGAAATAGAAAAGGAAAGTGATGAAGGACAAAGTCAGAAGAATTCAGAAGCAAAAGAAATAGTCTCTGATATGGAAACTGATCTGGTGAAAATGACTGATCTGAAGGATATAAGAAAAACTGAGGAGAATAGAAAAAATATTGATACATTTTTGGACAACTTACCAAATAGAGACATAAATATTGAGGATGAAGAAGATAAAGATTTTGTTAAGGAAAGTAAAGGGAACAAGCAAGATATGATCTTTGACAGTGAACGAGAATCTATAAAGGAGGAAGACAGTTATTTGGAAGGTGAAAGTCAGCAAAGTATAGCTGATGGTTTCAAGCAGCCTGAGTCAATAGAATTTAGCAATGGCGAGAAAGAAGATGATGAAGTGGAAATTGATCAAAACTTGTGGTATAGCAGAAAATTTATTAAATGTGAAGCGGCCAAATACAGGCTATCCAGAATCATGGCAAAATATGAGTTTAAGTGTGATCACTTATCAATGATCTCAGAGGAACAGGAAGGAGAAGATGATTCAGAAGGAAGTGGAAAAGAGGAGCAAGAGATAGAGGCAAATGAGGAGGAGTGTGGAGAAAAAGAGGAGGAGGAAGCAGAGCTCCTGTCAGATGACCTTACAGACAGAGCTGAGGTGAGTGAAGGCAAAGGAAAGCAAGGGGGGAAGGCAGAACACGTGCCTGAAGGTGGAGGTGAGGGAATCAGGAAGGAAGGTAATTCAGGAGTAGAACAGAGAAGTAGAACAGGAAGTGAGGAAGGAGAAGAGGGGGAAGACATGGGAGAGGGAGTAATAGAGAGCCTGGGTGATGGAGAGAAAGACCTGGAGGAGGAGGAACAACAGCCAAAGGAGAGGGAACAGGGCCACCAGGAGGAAAGAAGCACAGGGAGGAAAGAAGCAGAAGAGGAGGAGCAAGGAGGCGGGGAGGGAGAGGAAGAGGGAGGTGAGGAAGAAGAGAAAGACAAGGGGAAAGAAGAAGGGAAAGAGAAAGAAGAGGAAGAGCAGGAGGGGAAGGGGGAGGAGTTAGAAGAGGGGAGATGGCAGGAAAGAGAGGGGAAAGGAGAGGAGGAGGGGCAGGAAGGAGAGGAGAAAGGGGAGGGAGAGGAGGAAGGGGAGGGAGAGGAGGAAGGGGAGGGAGAGGAGGAAGGAGATGGGGAGGGGCAGGAAGGAGAGGAAGAGGAGGAGGAAGGAGATGGGGAGGGAGAGGAAAGGGATGGTGTGGAACAGGAAGGAGAGGTGGGAGAAGAGGAAGGAGATGGGGAGGGAGAGGAGGAAGGGGATGAAGAGGAACAGGAAGCAGAAGGGGGAGAGGAGGAAGGAGATGGGGAGGTAGAGGAGGTAGGGGATGAGGAGAAGGAAGGAGAGAGGGGAGAGGAGGAAGGAGATGGGGAGGGAGAAGGGGAAGGGGATGGGGAGGAACAGGAAGGAGAGGAGGAAGAGGAAGGGGATGGGGAGGGAGAGGAGGAAGGAGATGGGGAGGAGCAGGAAGGAGAGGGGGAAGAGGAGGAAGGGGATGGGGAGGGAGAGGAGGAAGGTGATGGGGAGGAGCAGGAAGGAGAGGAGGGGGAGGAGGAAGGGGAAGGGGAGGAGCAGGAAGGAGAGGGGGGAGAGGAGGAAGGGGATGGGGAGCAGCAGAAAGGAGAGGGGGGAGAGGAGGAAGAAGATGGGGAGGGAGAGGAAGAAGGGGATGGGGAGCAGGAAGGAGAGGAGGAAGAGGAGGGGGGAGGGGGTGAGGGAGAGGAGGAAGAAGGAGAGGGGGAAGAAGAGTTAGAAGAGGGAGAAGGAGAGGAGGAGGGAGAGGTGGAAGGAGAGGAGGGGGAAGGAGAGGAAGAGGAAGGAGAAGAGGAGGAAGGAGGAGAGAAAGAGGGGGAGGGACTGGGAGGAGAGGGAGAGGGAGAAGAGGAGGGGGAAGAAAGAGTGGAGGAAGGAGAGGAGGAGAGAGAGAGGGAAGACACTGAGAGAGAAGAGGAAGAGGGGGCAGTGGGGAAGAGGAAAGACAAGGGGAATGGGAGAGAAGAGGAGAAGGGAGAAGATGAGAACAATGAGGAAGAGAAGGGAAAGTGCCAGGAGACAGGCAATGCAGAAAGTGGAAGGCAGGGAAGAAAGGGTGGGGGAAGGGAATCCAAAGTGAGCCAAATCAGAGGATCTGGGAAATACGACAAAGATAGAACACATCCAAAAAGGTTTACTACTCACAGGGAGGGGAAGGGGGAAGGGCATGAAGTACAGAGGTTCAAAATGCCAGTGCAGTCAAAACAACTTTTAGAAAATGGGCCACCAGGTTCCAAAAAATTTTGGAATAATGTATTACCACATTATTTGGAATTGAAGTAACAGATTTTAAATTTGACCTGATTATGTCCAACCAAACAATTTTAACATCTTATGCATAATAGGCACTCATTTTATTACATTGATTTTGTGTCATGGTTACTTTACATGTGGTACATAAAGATAACTTGAGGCACTGGTAAATTTTGGCTTCTCTTAAACTATTATTTTGGTGTCCCCCCAAATTATATAGCTAAAAAATATCAAAAGGTCATAGCATATAGTTAATATTCTAATTCCTCACTAAAGACAGTGTTATGAAGGAGTATATTATAAAAGTATTTTGTTTGTGTATATAAGTAAGTCCCTTTAAAAATGGCACAGATCTTTAAGGGTTATAAAAATGTCTAATCTCATAACTATCTATGTTAGCATAGTTTTTTCAGTCTGTAACTACAGTTTGCCCACCATATAGAATAATGTTGATAAGAACAGGTGTTATTTTAAAGCCAAATGAGGAATTCACATATTTTTTAAAGTAGTGCTTTTTATCTTTAATGTGTCCCTTTTGCAACAATCTACAAAGTGACACCTGGGTTCAGAGTTTAGATTCTAATGTCTCTTTTAGTTACTGTTTGGTAAATGACAGAATATATGATGAAATGAAAATGAACATATATTCTAGAAGTATGAAAATCTTTTAAGTGGTTACTTGCCAGGCAAAGCTACTCACTGGGCTTCGGTTTCCTTATCTGTAAAATAGACTGGATTAGATGGTATAATAATTAAAGCCCTTTGTAACTCTTAGATTCTTTCACCCTAACATGTTATTTGCTTAAGAAAATTTTTAAGGAAGAAAAATCATGTTTTACAGTTAATCCAGTTTTCTATAAAATGTTATTTACTCTTAAATTATGACAGCTTTAATATCTTTTGTCTTCTGTAATTCTGTATTTGCATCTCCTATAATTTCTGAACTTTCACTATACTGTCAGACCTTCATTCCCAGTACTGCCATTCCCAATGTCTGTTACTTATTGTCAATGTATTCTTCATTCACTATTCTGTAATTCTCTGTTTGTTATTTGTCAGAATGTTTCAAGTAAAATAAAAATTAAATGCTTACAGTCAGTAGTTGTTTGTGAAAAGAGAAACTTTTAGATATTGGATTTTAGAGAGGCTAGATTTCCACTAGAGTAATTCCATTGTATATAATGCAGCCAGTTTGTTTCTTCAAAGCTTTCCTTCCCCAGCCCCTTCAATATCTTATACATGATGGATTTCTTATACTTTCCTTTTATCAAGGAGGATTGTGATGGTAGACATCCTGTGAATTTTGTGTAGGTTGAATTCTTTACACATTTGATTTTCCATGAGGAGAAAGACTCAGAAAATGGAAAAATTCCTAAAGGTAGTTGTAAATTGTCTTTTAGCTGCGAGACTTTCTGGTAGCTTCCACTAACTAACCAAATATGTGAGTTTGGCATTGCAGTGTTCTACCACACTCATTAGTGTTAGAATCTAATTAATACCTAGATTAAAATGTATGTATTATGTTGATTCTAGTGCCAAACATGGTTGTTTTAGAAGTACACTTAGGATTAAATAGGATGGATGACAGAAGTGGAGTTCATAGAGGAAAAACCTCCAAGGAGATGAGAAACTCTTAAGCTCAAGTACAGTGGTAAAGGTGTGGGTGTTCATCTTCCACTCAAGAGGTAATCAGCCCTCAATACTGAAATGATGCTCTTAAAATATGTCCATCTCAGAATTTGAACGAGTTGAGATAGCCATTTGTAAACAGCATTTCTTACCCTTTTCTTTACCTTTTTCTAGCCAAAAACAAACAAAAAAATTGTGCTCTTTTAGAAGCATTCATTCATGCAGGACTAGTGCTCTGGTTAAAAGAGCACTGGCCTACTCATCTTCAGACCTGAATTAATACTTGGCTAGGTAGTTTGGAGTAGCTAGTTCCCTCTTTATTGTCCACATCTGCTGGTTGATCAGGCTTTTACTGTACTTTATCAGTGATCATTTCTGAGGCAGTATCAGTGATCATTTATGAGGCAAGTGTGAGTTGTGTATGTAGAATCCATTGAATTACAGTTTCAAATGAGCACTCTGGCAGAAAAATAAGGTAAGATACAAAGGAGGACAACAGAAACATCTGCCGCTGTGGACCAGCAGCACTCCAGGTGAGTGTAATTGAAATGTTCTCTATTATTTCACTATAGAAATCATTGATTTCTATACTGTATTTCTATTACTGTATACATGTAGATTAAAAATAAAATGCTACCATGGAGGAAGTTGCTGTAATTCCGTCCTTTCCTTCTTTCCATTGTGAAAGTTAAATGTGATATTCCATGCCCAGTACCTGACACATAACTTATATTTGGTGCATGTTATTCAATCAACAAATATTTATGTACCAAGCACCAAAAAGAGGACAGAAGCTACCCCAAATCAGGTGGATCTCAAGAAGTGAGGGCTGCTCTCAGTTAACCTCCTGTGGCCCTCCAACCTACCAGGGACTTTAGGTAGGTATAGATTTCTTGAAGGAACACCAGGGTGAAAGAGTTCCTATAACTCTGCCTGGACTGTTGCTTAACAGTGCCCTTGTATTTGCCGATACCCCTGTGTTCTTGGACAGATGGTTTTATCTGCCCAATGATGAAAATATGATTTAAAGATGAATCTCTGGCTTTCCTCCATTAAATCCCTTAATTAATAAGAACGTGGTTTTTATACTCTAAGCTGTTTCTACAGATTGACCAGAAAATTTATCAGCATAATAGAGTGCTTCAAGTGTGGCACTTCAGCTGCCACCGAGAAAGACCAGGCAAGGGCTTCCCAGGAGTGATAGTGAAATGGGAAATGAGTCATGAAAAGTAAAACCTATCCGGGCAAAGAGTGGGCTGGGCGATGGAAGCCAGGAGAGTGTTTCAGTGTGACTGCAGCCTCAAGTACCCTTGGACTAGACAGAGAGGCGTGAGACCTTCTGTGTTTATAAAAGATGTTAAACAGGAGTAAGGTTGATCACACTTGGGCTTTTGTGGCATCCATCTGTCAACAGGATGGAGGGTGGAATGGAAAGGGAGAGGACCAGAGTCAGGGATAGCAGTCAGAGGGCAGTTACAGTTGAATAGGCAGAGACTGAAGCGGGGCTGGACTAAGACAGTAGGATGGAGAGTTGGAAATGTGTCATTACAGGAGATTTAGGGATAGAATTGGAGGGCTTAGAATTGGGTAAAGATATGTAGCTTGGAGGGAGGGAAAAGGCCAAGCTTTTCCTGTTTCTGGCTTGGAGAATTGGGAAGAAAGACTGCCATACATGGAGGCTGAGAACTGAGGAGTAGGGGCAAATTGAGGAGACTGCTTGGGGCTTTTTCATCCAGGAGATGTTCAATAGACAAATACACATCTGGGTCTGGCACTCAGGGAAGATGCTGCATATCACCAGCTTATGCATATAGTTAAAACTGTGGATTTGAATGAGAGGCAGCATTCAGAATGTGAAAAGAAAAGAGAACTGCAGAGAGAATTTAGGGAAACATGAGTAGGTAAGGGCAGATTGAGAAAGGGAAGTCTAAGAAGGAGCGAGGGTAAGAACACTTTCTAGGAGACAGGGGTCCCCAAAGCCAGGGAAGAAGGAGCAGTGGAGGGCCACAGGGCTGGGGCAGAGCCCATGTTGCATCAAAGAGTGAACTTCAAGAGGTCTGCCTTGCAGAGACATAGAATCAGAACTAGATTCTGAGAAATAAATATCAAAGAGCTCTGCTGGCATAATTCTCAATTTAGAAAGGGAGATGTATATTCCAGAGACTTTGGAGCTCTGGGGTGAAAAATTCTCAGTTTTTAATTGCTATTATTATATATGATGATACATAAGAATAGGATATTACTGATGTGAGCTTATCAACAAAAACATTTGCAGTGCTTTAAATATCAGTAAGGGTTTTTTAAAACAAAAACAACTCTGAGGGCAGCCATTACAGTCTGCAAATTATTTGGGCAGAGTTGGTTCAGAGCATGGGCTCTATAGTCCAGTAGGCCTGAGTTCCTGTCCCAGCCCTACTGATTAGCTGAGTGGACACCTGGAAAATTTTTTTTTTTTAACATTTCTGAGTTTTACTTCCTTCTTTTAGTAAAGGAAGGGGGGTCTTTTAATAGTTAAGTTAACACATGGAACATGTTAGCGATACTCAGCAAATGCTAATCTGTATCACTCTAATTATCCTCTCTGATCACATCAGGTTAGGTACAATGCTAATGAATCTCCAAGTCACTGGCCGATGTGCATGAGTATAGTTTCATGTGCCTCTAAACCTTACTTTTATTTAAATACAACATAGAAACCCCTCAAAAAATTAGTTTATGGAGGTAGATCCATGGGAATGAAATAGATTGCAATAATGATAACCCTTAACTATGTATGGGGTGGAGTGAAACTCCTGTTACACACCATACATGAGTCAAATGCCGCCCCTCAGCATTTGAACCATGATGAAAGGCTGATGGCATTCACATGGTTAGCCTCAGCCTAAAATTTAGATATTAGTGCTGTCAGGGGACCAGAGTTCCCTCTGTATCCTAATTTTTTATCAAATAGTTAAAAAATAAGACACATAAATTATAATCATGGATCATGTGTTTGTTTAAGATAAAGAGGAAGATCAATCTTCTAAGGAAAAACAGGGGGAAATAATAGAGTAAAGCTGAGAACAAGAATAAGACTACATTCCTTTTTTCAGGCCTCTTTTCAGAGTCTTACTGTAACGTATTTGCTGCTGAAAATATAGGATTAGCAATGAAGTAACAGATGGGCACATAGAAAGAAGGGGAAGTTTAGAGATAATGGTGTCATTAGAAGCAAAGAATTGGAAAGTCACAACTGGCATCCTGTGGGTGCACTCCAGCCTATAGACTTGTTTGGTATACATAGTGATTTTATAAACATTTGAATCAGATGCCAGCATTGAAATATCAGATTTTACATTGAAAATACTGTTTTGTGGGCTTCGCTTGGAAAACCTGAGTATCTAAGAGTATCATGCCCGGTGGCAACACAGGCCTATAGCCCAGTGGAGGCCTCCCTGACAGGCCTTCTTCCCACTCTTGCTCTGGCTGCCAGACACCTGGCAGAGAATAAAGGGATGTGTTACAAGAGGGTAGAACAGAGAATTGCACACTTTAAATGAACTACTGTCTATTGATAAGATCTGGGACATGGCAAAAAGTGTCCAAGCTTCTTGTTTTGTGACAATCCTCCATGCACACTTGGGATTCTATCTTACTTTTTATAGAATGGACTTCACAAAATCACTTCTGTTTACATACAAATACTTATTTGCTCGTTATTTTCTCTGTAAACAGTCTTTTTCATCTTGATACAGACCCTCCTAGATAGGTGTTGATAAATGTCAACATTTGATAATTTTTCCATTTTATAGACAGACATTAAGTAGGTGCCTTGCTCAGGCCAACAGTGGTGGAGCAAGGCTTAGAAAACAGTGTTTAGATCTTTGTATTTAGTGCTCTTCCCACTCTCTACCCCAGCCTCAGTTATTTCTAGTGTAGTTAAAACACGCACTTATATGTCAGCTATTCTTGTCCTAAAAAAAAGATACTTTGAAACTGAGATTTTAAAATATGCACTTTCCCACCTGATGATTCAGGTATAAAGTTCTGTGCTGTATGTTATTTTGTTGTTTGGAAAATACTTTCTATCCTTTGTGACACTGAGGCAAGTCATGAATCCAGAATTGTAGAGCAAAATTTTACACATTATAGTCTTTTTTTAACTTAAAAAAACTTTTGAAACTAATACATAGGCAAGTATATATCTCATGCATATATAGTTCAATGTATTTTCTACAAACTGCACACACCTATATAGTCAACATCCAGATCAAGGAAAAGCACAGTGTTGGCTCCCANACTAATACATAGGCAAGTATATATCTCATGCATATATAGTTCAATGTATTTTCTACAAACTGCACACACCTATATAGTCAACATCCAGATCAAGGAAAAGCACAGTGTTGGCTCCCAGGAAGCGCCTCTTCAATCCCCTCCCATCCGCCACCCCCTCCAGGGTGACCACTTGGCCAACTTCTGATTGCAATCTCTAGTTCTTAAAGCATACCGTATATTCATTTCTTAAGGAAACTGAAACCTTTTGAGAAACATTTGGTTTCTTAGTATTTCCCCTAAGAAATGTAAAAAACTATTGCCCTGGTCTAGACCAAAGACTGCAGGTACCCTCGCTGTGTCTGACCAATGAAACAAGGGTTCTTTTGTGGGAGTCAGGCCCAGTCACTTCTTCACTGGGGTCCTAGCACAAAGTTGATTTCCCCTGATCACTCCAGAATACCTCTTTACATCTAATGTGGTTCTGGTGACAAGAATGTTTTTAAACTTTATCCTTTCTTTTTATAAAATGACAGTATTCTGCCAGTCTCTCCTAAATTGTTTCAGTTTGAAGGTAAGTGCTATATGTGACTTAAAGTAGTTGTCCAGATGTGTATAGATTAATTTTAAATGTGCTTAATTAGGTGCAAATGCTGCAATTGATGATGTGATTTCTATCACCAATGCATTTTCTAAGAGCTTTCTCAAACTTAGAAAATGACATAGTTCCAACAGTTCTTCATTGTTATAGATTTATATAAAGTTAATGAGTAAAATTGTATTGGGTTGGCCCAAAAGTTCTTTTGGTTTTTAAGTTATAAATACACGACACATTTTTCATTTTCACAGAGAACTTTACTGAACATTGTGTTCACCAATTTGTTCCACTACTTTCTGCCATTTTCCAGGCAACTTAATAATTCCATCTTCCCCAAATTTTGTATCTTTTTGAGCAAAAAACTGTTCTAGGTGCCTTTTATAGTTTTTCAGGGAATTGAAATTTTTTCCATTAAGAGAATTTTGTGAAGACCAAAAGGGCATGTGAAGGTGCAATGTCTGGTGAATACAGTGGATGAATCAGAACTTTCCAGCCGAGCTGAACAGTTTTTGTGTGGTCATCAAAGAAATATGTGGTCTTGCATTATCCTGATAGAAGATTATGCGTTCACTGTTGACTGATTCCAGACACTTTTTGTAGAGTACTGCTTTCAGTTGATCTAATTGGGAGCAGTACTTGTTGGAATTAATCATTTGGTTTTCTGGAAGGAGCTCATAATAGAGGACTCCCTTCCAATCCTACCACATACACTATATCACTTTCTTTGGATGAAAATCAGCCTTTGGTGGTCTCTTCCATTCCACATTATCATACAGTATCCACTTTTTTTTTTTATTATTTCATGGATATTTGTTTTGTTTTTTTCATTTATTTTTATTTGTTGGAGGCTAATTACTTCACAACCTTTCAGTGGGTTTTGTCATACATTGACATGAATCAGCCATGGAGTTACATGTATTCTCCATCCCAATTCCACCTCCCACCTCCCTCCCCACCCGATTCCTCTGGGTCTTCCCAGTGCACCAGGCCCGAGCCCTTGTCTCATGCATCCCACCTGGACAGATGATCTGTTTCACTATAGATAATATACATGCTGTTCTTTCAAAACATCCCACCCTCACCTTCTCCCACAGAATCCAAAAGTCTATTCTGTACATCTGTGTCTCTTTTTCTGTTTTGCATATAGGGTTATCATTACCATCTTTCTAAATTCCATATATATGTGTTAGTATACTGTAATGGTCTTTATCTTTCTGGCTTACTTCACTCTGTATAATGGGCTCCAGTTTCATCCATCTCATTAGAACTGATTCAAATGAATTCTTTTTAATGGCTGAGTAATATTCCATGGTGTATATGTACCAC